AATCCGCCGAAACGTCAGCTTAATCGTGAACAAAGAATAATAACACCTCGCGTTTGCTCAACAAAAATACGAAGAAAATAGCGAATAGTCTTGTGGATTTGTGGATGGGACTAAAAGTGCAGCAACGGTCATACGAATCGGCAACATTTTTAAAATCAAACTATCGATACTTCACGTTTTGATCTGGTAAGAGTTGACACGTAGGGCAGCTCTGCGTCAGTTGTTAGAGCTCGTAGAGTAATTGTATTGTTTCCAGATAGCGAACGATATGGCACATCAACTTTTGAAAGACTGTCGAATTAATCCCAGTGCGCCGTCGTTTCAGTTGGGTATTGATGAATTTGCTGACTTAGCCACTGGTTATGAAGAACAGTGTAGAAGGTGAGCTTATTCCTACCATTTTTGCCTTCGACAGAGTCAAACCTTAAAGAAAGTGCTAAAAAATGACTGGGTTATATGATTGAACTGGTCCAGTTTATAGAATTCGAGTTTTTCTTCAATTCCAGAATTGTGCCTTTGAAAGTTGCATGGAATAGAATAGTTAGCAAGATTATCATACACTTTGGACTATTCTAAACAATTTCAATGCTTTTTGGTTAGAAAATGAAAGAATAAAGCACTCTGCGTTGATCAATCTCTTAGGGATGCGCCTTGCATCCGACTTCACTAAGCATCGTTTTGAACGTGACTGAATGCATATCTGGCCATTAGGATGATTCGCGGTGGCTCACCGGTATATAGAGCCAATGCTGCTATCCTCCCAGACAAGTCCGATACCAATTTGACGACCACGACGAATGGAGGACTTGGTGAGCCTGGAGCGCGAGGATCAATCCCGTGTGTATTGGAGGGCGCCTCCGACTACTGGGCTACACGCGCTTTTTGGTTACTCATGGAAATGCTTCTATGCCTTGGCTTTGTTGGCAGGTGCATTCCTTCTTCCTTATATGTGATTAATAAAAGTTGGAACTGCAAATTTGACCACTTTGAACTCTTATAGCAATCATATACTTACTTGCCTCCCATGTGTTTAGCGCCTCATCGTGACTGTAAAGTGTTCCTGGGTGTCGGATTGCGATGTACAGCAGGGGGATTCGTCTCCACGGTAGAGTCTCCCAATCTGAGAACGAGTCCGACGTTTCCATTAGGAAACCTAGCTAAGAGTAAACCAATACCAGGATCCACCACCGTCGTGATATCAGAGTCGCATGGTGGCAAATCTCCCTTTGGTCCACTAGGGTCGCAACTGCCTGCGGTGGTGAAGACCTGGGGCAGACTTTGGCCAGGCTATCCTCGACATTCCAGAGAACCACAATGGATTGGCGAGCAAATCTCCGAAAAATGGTGATTATGTTGGGGCTCGCACAACTAGTGAGGACGGGCCGTTCAAGTATCAAGTATCAAGTAAAAATATAATTATTTGAATATTTGTGTACAAGGTTTTGGCAGCTATACTTATAAAAACGGTGGTTTAACAATTAGGGTCCAAGTTGAGTTGATTTCCACTCGAACTTTGATATCAACCCGTTTTTCCACTTGTTTTCTTCCACGGGGGTCTTTGCTACACTTTTTGAATTCATTCGTAAGCCTATCTAATACAAATTACTGCAATAGTAGGAGGACCGCGGAAGCGTTTTTTTTCACACTTGGTGGTTTAAAAAAATAAAAACGCTTACCGAGTGAGTTTGTTCTTCTTATTTGAATCCAGGTGCAGCAGCTTGTTGTTAATGAAGAGGATGCCCACATACTTGCTGCTGTACTGGCATGGCAGACTGATGTTCCACATTTAGGGACATCTTGCCATGTTGGGGAGACCTACGTAGGTGTAGTTTTAATACAGTTGTCCAATAGATTCAGAGTTCGCGATCCTTGTTAATGCTTCATCTCGCTATTTTGTGGAGTCTCTTGCAAGTCATAACTGAGGGTGCACTGCACTTAGGAACTCTGTCTTCAAGAATAAAACGAACTTTCGTTTTGAATTCAGTTATCGACATTTTCTGGATATATTCGCAATAGACCTTCCATGTATTCACCGAGACGTTTGGGTGATTGGTTAAATGTTAAAAGATTCGTAAATACTGTGGGTAGGAACCTAACGGTTTACCGCCTATCGTGGCTGAGAGGTGTTCCTGGGTGTTGGGCTGCGTTGTACAGCAGGGGATTCATCCCCTGGCAGGGGGACTCCCAAGCTGAGAGTCCGGCGTTTTCATCAGGAAGCCCATCTAAGAGTAAACCGATACCAGTTCAGATTCATATCCACCACCGTCCTTATACCAAACTAGTCGCATAGTGGCAAATCTCGCTATGATCCACAAGGGCGGCAGCTGTCTATGGTGGTGACGACCTGGGGCAGACTTTCGTCAGGCTGACCTCGGGATTCCAGGGAATTACAATGGCTAGACCAACAAAACTCTTAAAAGTGTAGAATATCCTGGAGCCCCCACAACCAGTGAGGAGGATAGACTATCCAAGTATGGGTAGTAAAGGCCATCGGAGTCTTTTATTGGTGGAGTGACTAACCGGTTGTTATGAATTCATTTCAGTTTATAACAAATGTGGAGCAGATGCGGATATGTGGTGCGCGTGTCGCGCTGTGGTTAGATGCGCCCTGCACTACACATGAGTTCGATCTCGCGCCCCAGGCTTACCAACACTTCCATCCTTCCGGGGTTAATAAATTAGTATCAGACTTGTCTACGAGATATCAGCGCTGGCTCGTTATATTGGTAGGCCACCGCGAGTCATTGTAAAGGACAAATATCCATTCAATCACCTCCAACAATGCTTAATGAAGTCGAATCTATGGTGCATCCCTCAGGGATTGATCAACGCTGAGAGTTTTATTCTTTTTTATCCTTTAACATATATGGGGAGAAAAGCGAGGCGCTGTCTAAGTGACACAGCCGTACGAAGTTATCTTTCAGAGTTTAAATGTCAAAGTTATGCTATAAGTCCACGGTAATGACGAATACAGAGGTTTCTATATAGAATGAGGGAACACTTTTATATCTAACATTAGACTTTCAGGATGCCTGGGTTGTTTCTATATGACTACATCAAGCCGAAGCGAACTGTTGAGATGCTTGCTCAGAAACCAGGCGCATTACCTCCTGAAAATCGTTACCATTTGGAGAAAATGCCAGCAATGGGCGTACGACTGAGAGACGCAGATCGTTTTTTAAGTTAAAACCAATTTATTCCGTGCAATTTTCCTCACCATCACTTGTTCAGTGTTGATAAACCAAGCCTCACTACCGCTTGAGAACCCCCTTAGAAAAACTGTCGAGCGTTATGAGTGAAAAATAACGTTTGAAGTATGAAGAGACAAAGTCAGCATCAATTAATAGGCAGTTTGGTTGTTTTCGATGATTGATCGTTGAAAGTAAATTTGTCAGCAGTAGTTCCTATTCATGCTACTACTTCCACAAGGTGAATTTTCTACATATTAAATCGTAGTTTAGTAGAAAACCCGAACGCTTTTATATCTCTTCCTGTATAGCACGGATCGTGCCCCCTGTTGTTCACGTTTTGATCCTTGTATTCGAAGCCTAAAATTTCTTTTCTACATGGTAATACTTTACCAACTATGAAGACTAGAAGTCGATGCTAGAGAAGTTTTTGATTCAGAACGGGCAGAGATATGGGAAAAGAACGGGAGCTGCTTTCCTGAATGCTGGTTTCAATTGTTCGAGAAGCTTACTGACCATACCACAAATTGAAACAATCCTGCTGAAACAAATTTAGAAAAACGAAGCATAGAAATACTGTCTAGAATTACTATAAAAAAGGATAAAGCTCGGCGTTGATCAGTCCCTGAGGGATGCACCATGCATTCGACTTCATTACGTATCGTTGGAGATGATTGAATGCATATCCGGCTTTTACAATGACTCGCGGTAGCCTGCCGATGTATCTATCCAGTGCTTCTATCCTCCCAGACAAATTTGGTACCAATTTGCTAACTCCGGAGGGATGGAGGACTTGGTGGGCTATGGGCGCAGAGATCGATTCCACGTGTGTGTCGCAGTGATGCCTCCAATCACTGCGCCACACGCGCCCCTCTAAAATTACTATAAACCCAATAAATCCCATACCTTACAATAAAGTAACGATGTTTCTCTTCTACTCTGGAAGTTTTGTTTTTGTTTTCGTGATTTTTCATTGTATTTCTGTTGTACTGTTTCTGTGCTTCAACGCTACAGCTATGTCCAGACGGAAATTTCCATAAGAGTTAGAGTTATTAGGATGCTGATATATGAGCGAAATTCGGGACCTCAAATAGGCTCCGAACCCGAAATAAAATAAGCTGAAAATAAAAGTTGAAACAACTGTTAGTGTTTTAATTAATAGGCGTGCCTTATAAGCATGTTTCCTTTGAAATTTGAAGTTGTTACATGTGCAAATCATTATGTCCAGTGCTCATAATGTTTGTTTATTTACGATACGTTGTTGTTTCGGTAGTATTATGGTGCATGAAAGTTGCGTTATAAAATTCATATTACTATTAAAGTTGAAGGGAAATAACATCCTGGTTCGTCAACCACATGCGACTATAATCAGCTGTTCCACACTTCCTCATTGGAAGTCACGAAAAAGCGGCTCTGAAGAAGGCGGTACTGCCGAGACGTCAGCTAGTGTTGTATTGTATTGTGTTTTTCTGTGGAAGTAAATGTATGCTGTTTAAAAACCTCGCGATTGCTGAACAAGAAAACGACACATCCTGGTTTTTGTTGGATATCGATTTCTACTTCGTAAACGGAGAAGTTCAAAAAGTTTTTGAAAATTCATTTCAAAGCCAACTTTTCCACCCTTTGTAGCAGCTGACTGTCCAGTATTTGTTCTTTCGTGGAATCGTTCCATAAAGACTGGCGAGACAGTCTGTAGTAAAGACCTGAAACGTCTAGAGCGGTCGTTCCAGCATTCCAGTGAGAATCGAATCTACCAATATTTATACAGAGGACGAAGAGCTTCAGGTAGTAACAGAATCCTCATGCAAATCCGAATGTCACCATGAATAAGGGATGCGAGAAAGAAGTAGTCAGAAAGGCCGCTGGAATCTGCCTACGATACGGTGCCGCTTAATCTGATTTATATGAGATTTGTTTAAATCTAGTGTCGATTCTTTCTTTCAAACCTGTAGTGCTTTGATTTCAAATAAACCTGGCTTGTATAACATACCATTTTAAAATGTTGATGACATCTGGTTCAAGTTTATAGCCGCTTCAGTCGTAGCGATTTATAATCAGATGAAATTAATCTATTCAGACCTATAAAATTTGCACGCGTCCCTAAGGCAATAGTACGAAGTCCGTTATGCCTTAACGTGCTTGTCAATTACCCAATTCCTCAAATACTCTAGTTGTTGAGAGATTATCAGCAGCGGTTGAATAATCCGCATGTCATCACTACGTTAAAGAGTAAGTTCCGCCCTGAACCTTTATGTTAACGTTTTGTTCTGGCCTTATTTTATGATTAATCCACTGAATTAGAAATAAGAAGAGGAAGATTCGGGAAGTTCCTTGTACGAATTCGAAATTAGGTATAACTCCCGAAACTGTTCGTCCTACCGATGCCTGAATCACCAGTATCACCCAACGTCCCGTTGATCGTTGAGTGACACGTTCGAGCGCCTGTAAATCTTCTGTTTCTCCCTGTTGCGTGCAAGAGCTGGCCAGTGTGGTCTGCTCGCTTTGAAGACTCGTTGAGCATCATACCTTTCCTTTATTGTTTTCATGAAGAACTCTGACCATCGGATCGGTGGTCTTCCTGCCGTATACTTGACATCCTGAGGAATCCAGTAAATAACGACGCTTGTCCATCAGGTTGTCAATCATACGCATTAGGCGTACCTTCCACCTTACCGTTGACAGTTTGATGTACAGAACAGCGCCTCTGAGTTTTTTAATGTTGAAATAGATCGGAGCTTCGGTTCCCTTCCGCCATTTACATGATGTGAGACACTCCTAGCATCATCGTTTTGAATGCGCATTCTCTAACGCTGAGTCATCTTCCATCCTGTTTACGCAGCGATCAGGTTTCTGAAGGCACGGAGTTGGGTGTTCGTTGTTCTCTTCACTACATCCTGAATGCTCTTGAAAGCTCTCCAAGCCACTCGATTCGTCCTGCTCAACTCTGGTGCTTAAGCGTTATCAAAGTCTACTAGCATTTGTTCCACTTGGCTAATGCCGACCATCTTTTTTACTTCCATGCTGTCCCATCCCAGTTTTCCTATGAGGTTCTCGAGAGCGGCGGAAAATAAATTTAGTGGAATGGTATCTCCTTGCCTGACACATCTTTTGACGTCGATCTTCGTAAGAGTGGCGATTTTTTGGTTGTTAACTTTTTATACAGCTCACGCAGAATATTTATGTACTTCAGTAGGGACGCTCTGGCCATCCAGGACATCCATGGCTGCTTCTATTTCAACTGAGTCAAAAGTTGAAGCTATAGTTGGAATTCACAATGCTGACTTTTTACAATCTTAACTTTTTTATTTACTGCCTATTCTTTTTAACGGCAAGGTATTTTGCGATATATAACTACTATAATGCTGAGATATTTGCAAAACTCCGGACCGCGGGTTCAGTGGGGAACGAACGCGCTGTTGTCCTTTCCGGGGAGTTACGCGCTCACCACCACACCATGTGGGTCCTTCGTTTCGCCTAGCGTTTCCTGGCGTTGACCGACAAAACTAGCTGAGAAACAGACGAAACGAAGGACCCGCATGGTGTGGTGGTGAACGCGTTGCTCCCCGGAAAAGATAATAGCGCGTTCGTTCCCAACGCAGACACCTACGGTCCGGAGTTTTGCAAATATCTCAGCAATCTTGTGGTTGTATTTCGCTTAATACCCTGTTATAAAAACAATAGAAGGCGGAAAATAAAAAAGTAAACATTGTGAAAAGACTGCTGGGTTTTTCAGGTGTTCAGTTGTTATCCTGTCTAAACAAGGCGTTGTTCGACTCTTAACCACGTGTTCTGTTGTTTAACTGTTTTCAAAGCTTCAGTTATTGAAATTATAGTACTTGATCTTATCGCGTTCTGCTCGCTTATTCCTATTATTATGCTGAGATGTCATACATGATCACTGCACATAAAAGTAGCGCTCAATTTAATTTTGTTTTTCACTTAAATTCTGTAGTAATTCATGTTTTTTTCACAACGTATTTTGTCACCTGATAACGCAGAACGCTGTTCGCACCCATTAGCATAATGTGCGTTGAGATGGCTGCCTATCGCTCGGATATTCCACCGCCTCCTGGCACGATAACCCTTGTTCAACCCGGCTACGAATTTAATCAAATGCAAGATGTATCTGAGTCATATATGGCTCCCGATACGATGATTACTAGTCAACTGGCACCCCGGACAAAGTAAATATAATACATTTCCACTAAATATTCAAAAAAAAAAACGTTTGTTTTCACATTACCCGGCACCACAAATATTGTGCTGTTTCAAGTCGCTCTTTCATTCGATCCGTTTCCTTGCGCAAGTCTTAAAAGAAGGTTTATTAGAAGGTGTGGGTTTGGCTTCCGGTTGAAGATTTCCTCTCTTCTTTTTGAACGGTGTTTTATGTGGTTGAATGCTGTTTCAATCAATTCTTCCTGGAATCCTGGTATGACCGCGCTAGAACGTTTTCAAATCTTGTGAATCGGAGGGAGCTTCGCAGACAAGTCTCGTACCAATCTATCTACCTCGGAAGGATGAAGGAATTGGTTTTACGGGTGACGTGATCGAGCCAACGTCCACGTGTTTATTGCAGCAGACCTCTAACCACTGCTCATCGTGCTTTCCCTGCTAATATTACTCGTTACTAATTGGCTTATATTGTTCTTATTCCTGCGATATTTTGTTGATCTGGTAAGATGTTACAACATGTAATTGGTGTTCTTCTGTAGACCACGAAAGTTGGCGTTTTAGGAAACCGCTTTGTTGTTGTTTTTTATTTTTAAATCATTTTATATGGGTGCGTGTTGTGCAGTAGTCGGAGGCGCTCTGCAATACACACGTGGAATCGATCCCCGCGCCCCAGTCCCATCAAGCTCTTCGGGGTCACCAAATTGGTACCAGACTTGTCTGCGAGGATAGCAGCACTGGCTCGATACATCGGTAGGTCACCGCGAATCATTGTAAAGGTCAGATATGCATTCAATCACCTCCAAACGATGCTTAGTGGAGTCGAATGCATGAGGCATCCGTCAGAGATTGATCAACGCCGAGAGCTTTATCCTTTTTATTCCATATTATATGACCCGTCTTTACGTCTACTGTGGCGGATCTCAACACTTCTCATATCCGATTCGTTTCCTAGCAACTATCGTCCACAAAGGTCTTCCAACTTTTACGCGTGGTTTCGGCTGCTGCCTGAGAATTTTCATTTCACCTTGAATATCGTAGAATGCTGTTCGAGTCGATTCTTCCTGGAGTCCTGAAATTGCTGGATTGGAGCGTTGCTAATTGGACTGCAGCGAGTGATTTTTCTCTGGACAAGTCCTGTAGCAATTTCCCGACCCTGAAAAGAAAAGAGGCTTGGTGAGCCCGTGGGCCGGATCGAACCAGCACGGTGCTCGTGGTGATAATGTGATTAATGCAGAGCATAAACACCGTTTTAGAATGCCACCTACAACGCAGACGACTAGTAAGTATATATAGCATATTGTTGTTCTAATTCTTCCTATCCTTCTTAATTTCCTAATTTATTACTATCAAACCTGGGATGTATAACTTCAATGTTGTTGAAATGTTTGTAAAACTCCGGACCACAGGTGTATGCAGTGGAGAACGAACACGCGCTGTTGTCCTTACCGGGGAGCAGCGCACTTCACCACTACACCATCTGGGTCCTTCGCTTGGCCTTCCTCTCAGCTAGTTCTATCGATCTTTTGCCATCAGCAATCACCCGTTAGCGGGATTGATCTGAGGTACCCAAATCTAAAAATAATAGCGCGTTCGTTCCCCACCGCATACACCTGCGGTCCGGAGTTTTGCAAATATCTCAGAAACATTGAAGTTATATTTCGCAATATATACCCTGCCATTAAAAAGAGTAGGCAGTAAGTTAAAATTGTGATTAAAACTTGACATGGTTTTAGAAAAATTTTGTAGTTGCGATCTGGGTGCCAATACCACCACCAATGGAGGGTGTCCCACAAGGGCTTGAATATCTCACTATGGTCAATAAAATAATGGTACATCAGGTAAACCTGTTATTTTCTTTTTACTTTTCATCTTCTTGATAAATTAAGTGTCAGATTTTATTTTTAATGAAAGAAGACTATGATTGAATCCTTTCATTAATAAGCTAAGCTAAGCACTACGATTGCGATGTTGCTCTCAGAGCCATGATTTTAAACGCTTTAGAAATAATTTTCCCATGTAGTTAGGTTAATTATACCTAAGCACTAGTGATTAGTAGACTTTCGGGAAGGTTGCAGCAGCTTGAATAATGGCATTGAACACCAAATGAGGGCCCATCCTCGCACTAGTCCCATCAGGAAAATGGAGGAATCTCATTATTTGCTCTTTTTTGATGTAGTTTACTGTATAATCGTGGCTGAGAGCTCTTTTTGGATCCTAAACTGTGATCTACGACGAAAGGAACCTACATTTCCACCCAAACTGGATTTTTTAATATTTCGACTCGGAAGTTCAGCGAAGAGTAAAATAGCGCTAAGATAGCCAGTGTTGTGAAAAGAACCTAGTAGTACGATGGCAAACTGCACTTAGGTCCACAACATTCTTCGTGATAACTGGCGATTCGAGTTAATATTTAAGGAATGAAACGGTAGCCGTTGATTTTATATGAAAAGTACGTCTCAAGACTAGTTTATTTTTTAAGTCACCAGACCACTCATAAAGACTAAGCAGCTAATAGTGCATTAAAGATAAATGCAAATGGTCAATGAACTTCGTCAGAGGTGCAGGAGAATTTGGGAGAAATGCTTTTCTTGTACATTCTTACTTTTATTTTCCAAGTACAGTTTGTGATATGTGTATATATCTGTGTGCTTGCTCATATGCATATCGTATCCACCGCTTTTATTAGGCAAAAAGCCTATAGTCAAATGACTGGGGACTACATGAAAGTAGCGTAGCATGGGATAATCTGTCTTACGCCTATTTTGAATGGCCTTGAAAGCCATTCCGTATAGCTTGGTTTCCTGAGCTGCCTGTGCTGACTTTTTCCTAGAATTTTTGGAAATAGAAGGTTTTTAATCACAATCTTAACTCTTTTATTTACTGCCTTTTTCTTCTTAATGGCAGGGTATGTTGTGAAATATAACTCGTATGAAGTGCTGAGATATCTGCAAAACTCCGGACCACAGGTGTATGCAGTGGAGAACGAACACGCTCTGTTGTCCTTAACGGGGAGCAGCGCACTTCACCACTACACCATCCGGGTCCTTCGCTTTGCATGTATCTCAGTTAGTTCTATAGATCTTTTTGCCGTCAGCAATCACCTGTCAACGGGATTAAATCACCCGGGAGTCACCCGATAGAACTAGCTGAGATACATGCAAAGCGAAGGACCCGGATGGTGTAGTGGTGAAGTGCGCTGCTCCCCGTTAAGGACAACAGAGCGTGTTCGTTCTCCACTGCATACACCTGTGGTCCGGAGTTTTGCAGATATCTCAGCACTTCATACGAGNAACGGGATTAAATCACCCGGGAGTCACCCGATAGAACTAGCTGAGATACATGCAAAGCGAAGGACCCGGATGGTGTAGTGGTGAAGTGCGCTGCTCTCCGGTAAGGACAACAGCGCATGTTCGTTCTCCACTGCATACACCTGTGGTCCGGAGTTTTGCAGATATCTCAGCACTTCATACGAGAAGGTTTTTATTTGAGAACGTGACTTCTGTCTTCTCACCTCTTTTCATGTACATCGAATTAGTAAGGACCACCGATCACAAGCCCATGTAGTGTTTGACATTTTAAGCCACTCGGCTATAAACTGATGTAGAAAATGGTAAAGGCGGTAATAAAAGTGCAGCAACCAGAAGCACCTTGCTCTCGCGCCAACAGACATAGTCGGGTTCTTGGGTGGGCGTCAGTGCCGATTTGAAGATTTTCACTGTTTGATGCTGGTCGAGTATTGTTTTTCCTGGTTTTTTAAATAATATTCTTGCTAAGGATCTACACCACAAGAAGTCGCTGGTCTTTGTGAACCGAAGGATCTGAAGAAGGTTTTATGCCTTGTGGCTAGAAAAAAGTCTTACAGGAGGACAACGATACCATCGACCACTCGACTGATTGCTTGATATAGCAAAATTTTATTGTATGTGATGACTCTACCACGAGGACCAGCAATACGCCAAATCTGAAGCTTGGGTAACTGAACTGTTTATATATATGATGCCTACACGACAGTCACGCAGTGAGGTTAGAAATGTTACCCAGCATAAGTAGTAAAGTGGCTGACCAAACAAAATCGAAATACGTGCGGAATTGCGTTAATCATACTGTAGAGCATTACATAAGATATTTGTGAGGGTATGAAATGGAAACACAAATACTCTTTATGAAAATGGGTAATTTAACATTTGAAAACTATTTGAAACGAATAAAGCCAGTTGTGCGGACAAAGCGACCAATATTCCTGTGAATGACGTTAGTCATGCTTGCATTGTATTTTCTGTTTCCCATCTTACCAATGTCTCCCATGTTGATTAGGTATTTGACTTCAATTTCAACTCCACCACATATTGATGCGTTGACCGGTAAGCATACATACGACGATAATTTCATCTTTAATATTCATATTTATTAATAATGGTATAAATAATACTTAATATTTAAGATTATTTAATCTTTCTTAGAAACTGGCGGAATTACAGATTGTCTCATCAAATTATCGTGTTTAAATAAAAGTATGGAGAATGGACGACCTTCAGCATCTCAAGTCATGAGCGATACCTCATTCGAAGGTTTTCCTTGCACGATTTCGGTTTCGGGATTACTCAACTGATTGTTTGGGGTCGATGTATTGGGCCGAACTCATAGCGAATAAATTGTTGAATTAAATATTCTGGATCAAAATGGAAATAGTAAACTGGTTTGAAATTGTAAAAAAACATTGAAGGTAATCGTCGTTCCTCTGTTGCGTTTTCGATTTTGCAGGTGTGCTATTTGTTCGAAGAGTCCAATTGTTTTGAGCGGCAATGTTATGGCTCACGACGCGGTTTCACGATACATATTGCAGACAAATTTAAGCGTGTAAAAATTCTTTTACGGTTCTACGTTTTCCGATGATAGCTTAGGTATAAGATTCCAGCTAACGTTGGACAGCAAGATAGGGTTTGAAACGCATCTCTGTTGTAGTGAACTACAACGAGGATTTTTTTACTTGTGGTTTATATGGAGATCTTCAAAAAGAAAAGAAAAGAAAAGAAATTTCCCTTGACTGTTTATTGTATGCTATGTGGAATTGGATTCTTTATCGTATCTCAGGTTTATCTGTCTACGTTCTATTCAATTCAGGTTGTTACGGTCTTTTTGCTAACTTGTCAGGTTGTGCATCAAGCTGCACCATAGAAGCACTACCAGGAATTCTCGTAAGTCACGAACTTCAGGCGTTGACTTAGAATACGTTTGTTGGGATCTAGTTAGTGAAGAGGAATTAACATACCAAGTTTCCGAGAAAAATTTGTTCTGCGTGGGAAACTGTCTTTGAAATCGTATAGTAATCACTTATGGTCAGTGCAAAATATGGTTATTGATCGATAGTTCCGTCTTCTACATATTGTCATTACCTATATATGTTTTGAATAAAGTGACGAGAGAGATGAAACTTTTGAGTTGTTAAGGAAAAACTTAATTTTAATCACTCATTTTAAGCTTCAGATCGGCACTGTGCAACAGCGAGGTGCCTTTTGCGCAAATTTGTTGGACTTGAAGGACGCGAATGATGCAGCAATTCTGGATATCAATGGTCTCTGTTGTTGCTTGCTGCTTGGATGTCACGACAAGGAGTTCCCGGTACTTAAGATTTTCTCCTTACTCTTTATTAAACCGGTTGAGATGGTTGTGGTTAAGATGAGCGAGAACCAAGCTTTGCAAGCCTAACATATCAGTTCTTTCAGAATTTCATCAAATCGCTTCTCTCTGAATTTCAGTAATCGGGTTTGTAAATGAGGAGAAAGTGTTAAATGACCTTTGGCGTGAAATTTTGTAATTGAAAACCTCGAATTTTACTTTTACTTGGTTTAAAGTTACTAAATCGCGAGAAAGTGTGATACTCCATGTATTCCTTAATCCCTTAACCAGTTTATATGGTCGCTCGAAATCTAATAGTTTCGAAAATACTTCATACATATCCACATTACCGTTAATATTTGATTGAAGTCTACAATAGTTATGTACCTTTGCCTTAAAATCGACTTGAAATAGAACTAGAGAAAAAATATCATCCAACGTTCTGGTGGTGGTATAGGTTCGCTCTTACTGGCCATTTCCGGATAGAAAGGTCATGAGTTCCTCTCGCAAATCGCAGTTCACCATTGTCGTAGTGTCTCGACGTGGAGAAGGAAGAAAGGCAGGAACGGAGACTAGTGGAAGGCACGATCATCAGAAGTTTCTTTAGGAATAAAAGTTGTTGGTATCTCCTAGTTACTTACTTACTTTACTGTTTTCTAATTAGTGGTTTTTTACCATCAAATTTATAGGTGAACACACCAAATGATGACACGATTGGCAGTATCACAAAGAAATGGAGTGGTTGCATTTGGGAGACGTTCACAGACACCGATGTTTTCAGTGTTACTTGTGAGTTCAAGCTTTACTAGACCTATGCTTTACTTTATACTGATGTCAAAACTACTATGATATTCATATTGTTTCAAAAGAATATGTTACTTAGACGTTTAGTCCCAACGGATCTGGATGTAAAAGCGAAAGCGATCCTACTCGGAGCCCCTTCCTTATCGTTAGTTTCTCGTAGCAAGATCAATTTATAATTATTCTCTTGTGAATTGGTAAATCAGTGCCAGTAAAGTGGTTTTTCTTTGCATGTGGAACAAATTTTCTTGAAATTTCCTTTCCACTACAAGAATGTTTCAGTAGCAATCGAATGTTTTTTTCAGGACTACATGGAATTTGTAAACAACAACAAGGAACCTGATTAAATCTCACGTTTTTGTTGTTTTTCTATTTCTTTGTCCCGCTGGACATGGTGAAACGTAAACTTTGAGGCCAATGGCAGTAAATGTCTCGTAAAATACAGTTGAACAGATGATTACTGAACTTTGAAAGTATCTTCTAATCGGTTTTGGCGTATACACTGATAAGTTCTTCACTTTGTCCACTCTACTCGCATCTATCCTTTCTCTCATCCAGTATGAGTTGCTTTTGTTCTTTTGTAAAGTGTTCATACCTGCAGTTGTTACAATATAAACTGTTTTCTATATTGATAAATCCATTTAAGACTTATTTCTTACTATGTAACTAGTTTCATGTGAAGCAGCCGGTAACTTAAAATATAGTGCGATGATAAAGATACCGGATAAAAGATGTTTCCTTTTATCTGAAGACTTCCACAATGAACGGGTTAGGAAAGGCGAATGTTCAACTGGACACGACCGCTGACACTACTCGAAGTACTACCATGATGGTCGAAGGTAGCAGTTAAGTGTAAACCGAAAACATATGAACTCGAAAGGAAAGGGTGCTAATCGAATGCTGTTACAACTTCTAAACTAATACATTACAATGTCTTAACTCTTATTTACTGCCTATCCTGTCTTTTTTCATGGTAGGATATGTGAAATACAACCACAAGGATGATAGGATATGAACGAAACTCGGAGGCCAAGCCAGCTTCGACCTCGCGATTACCCTTTCTGTGCTCACGTGCTATCCACTACACCAATCGGCGCCCTTGTTTTCCCTTTCTCTCAGCCAATTGTTTTTTTAACTCCAGCGCTGCTGTCAGCGTTCACGCATTGTATTTCACATTGTTACCCTCCATGGAGCGTCTGTAGCAGAGCGGTCGGAGGCTTCCTGCAATACACCTGAGATCGATCCCCACGCCCTAGGCCCACCAAACTCTCTATCTATCCGAGGTTGGCAAATTGGTAGCAGAAATTTCTGGGAGGAATAAATCGGTAGGCTAGCGCGAGTCATTGTGAAAGCCAGATGTGCATTCAGTCATCTCCAGCGATGTCTAATGAAGTCGAATGCATGGTACATCTTTCAATCATTGATCAGCGCCGAGAACTCTATCCTATAACCCTTCCATAAGGAAGAAAAGAAGCAAAAAAAGATTGGCAGTAAATAAAAGTTGGCACATTGTGATTTCGACTACATCTTCTGGGTCTGAATAACTGAGTCGAATGCCGATTTAAACCCCTTAGATTATTCCCACTAAAGGATGATTGCTCATAGCATTGCTGGCACAAAAAAATTGACAGAGAAATGCAAAGCAAGGGCTTCGATTTGTGCAGTGGATAACACGTAAGCCCCAGAAAGAATAACTGCAGGTTCGGAGCTTCGAGTTTGCTCATATCTCAGGATTTCTGTAGTACACAATAACATGCCAGTTACTATCAGCAACTGCTAAGGAGTTTTAAGTTCCAACGGAATATTTAGAATTGCTCATGTATTAGTGGACAAATATCATATCATACAGAAAAAATGAAGATTTTATGCTGAGAGGCTACTATGCACTATCAATGCGCAAAAGAACTACGACGCTTATCACTTGCAAGACTTTTACATGGGCAGCCAATCTGCTTAAAATGTCCTTCTCTGAGGTTATTCTTCGGCCCACTACAGTTAGTCTTGCAATATTTCGATTCATTCAACTTAGTGAACCAATATGTGATATAACCTATGAATAAAGAGGCGCGAGTAGGGCAGTGCTTAGAGGCGACCTCTCAATACACACGTGTTCGATCCCGCGCTACAGGCTACCCAGGCCTTCCATCGCTGCAGTGCAAATTGGTAGCAAACTTGTCAAGAAGGACAGCGGGCAATATCTGGATACACCGATAGGATAGGCCACCGGGAGTCATTATACAGACCAGATATGCATTCGATCACTTCCAATGATGCCTGATGAAGTCGAATGCATGGTATACCACTCAAGGACTGATCAACGCCGAGAGTTTTACCCTTTAGTTTTTTTAATTAACCAATAGTAATTAAGTATTGCCAAATCCTGATGGCGTAAGGCAGAGGTCTCCTGATTACTTAGATTCCATAACATCTGCGCCTCTTAATGTGACCAACGAGTAAGTGATCACAAGACAACTCAAAAGACCAATTTTATATAAACTTTGCCATAAATAATCAATATATTTATTTATACGTTCTTATAAACTGATCTTATCGAGCAGATATGAGGCCGGTACAATTTTCGTTCTTGCTGTTGTTTATTGTTGTTGTGGTTCTTGTTTGTTGCTGTCGTTGTTTGTCGCGGCTGTTCTTGTTGTTTGTTGTTGTCGTTTGTTGTTGGTTGTTTGTTGCTGTTGTTGACGTTGTTGGTTGTTTGTAGTTATTGTTCCTGTTGTTGCCGCCGCCTCACCTGCACGGTTTCGCGTGGAACTCGTTGGTGTGACTCGTTGGTATGGTCGCCAATGCAGCCTTAGCTGCGCGGTTTCGCGTAGAATTCGTAGGTTTTACTCGTCGGCATGGCCGATTCTGGAGCTTCACCAGCGTGGTTTCACGTGGAACTCGTTGTTTAAGCCGACGTTGCCGGCCCACCTGCACAGTTTCGCGTGGAATTCGTAAGTTTTGCTTGTCGGCATGGCCTCCGCTGTCGTCTCATCTGCACGGTTTTGGTGGATCTTGTACGCTTTACTTAACGCCATGGCCGCCGCAGCGGCGTGACCTGCGTGGTGGATCTCAATAGTTAAGGCGATGCGGTCGCCTCACCTGCACGGTTTCGCATGGAACTCGTAGGCTTCGCTCGTCGGCATCGCCACCGCAGCAGCGTGACCTGAGCGGTTTCACGTTGGAACTCGTAGGTTAAGCCGATGCTGTAGCCTCACCTACACGGGTTCGCGTGGAAGTCGTAGGTTTTACTCGTTGGCATGGTCGCCACCGTAGCGTTACCTAAGCAGTCGAGGCGGGAATGCGTAGTTCAGATCTCCGACCTCTTCTATCCCGTTTTTGGGATCCAGAAGAACATGCATTTATAGCGAAACACAGATGGGCCGGTCACGTAATGGGAAGAAACGTGATAGATGGAGGAAAAGAACAGTAGAATAGATTCCAGCAGAACGCAAGTGTCCTCTTGTAGAACAACCACAACGATGAGCGGACGTGTTCTTGGCTATGGTCACACGTCTTTATCTTCAAATGGCAATGATTTCGGGACAGTAGATTAGCCCTGGCGGACGTCACCATGTTCGCAGCAGACCACCAGTACGGACGACGAATGTGCGAGAGAAAAACGAGTGGAAACTATGCTGTGGCCAGGACAACCAGTGAAGACACGCCATCGAAGTAAGTACGCAAGTAACGGATGGTATAATTGATTCTAGGTAGAAATGTAGAACACTAGTGAACAACAACTATCAGGCAACTAGAACAACAACAAACAACAACAAGGAACAACAACAACAACAACCATAACAATAACAACAACAAAGAAACAACTGTGAATTGTTGTGAACAACTAGCAAGTGCCTGCTGCTCTGAAAACTTCACTACTTTTTCAGTTGTCATTCCAAAACTTCTTTCGGAAACCTTTCTAGGAGTTTTGAGTATCCAGTAATAACGCATAAACGTTTCAAGAAGTGCAGCAAGATATACAGTAATACTTTGCCGCTACAAAATAATGCAACGTAGTGCTTTTTTAACGCATGACAAGACGATCTCCGTTTCTAACACATTTGCGTCTGTCCGAATTTTTCGTGAAAATTGCAGATATTTCTTAATAATCTAGGGAGTTGAAGACTTCAACCACTAATGAAGTTATTCAACAGACCTTGCCATTTTACCTAAAACCGGTATAGAATTCAATTTTACGAAAGGCGAACACAAAATTCAAATTTCTGATATTTAAGCGGCGCAGTAGCAAATATTGCGTGAAATTCCAGTTCTTCAATTGTTTCGTTGCTCGGAAGATATCAGCATCGAGGGAGAGAACACATTTTAAAAAAACCTTCTTTGTAACTCGCACTACCTACTTTCTATTAACCTCGGCATTGCTTAGTGCAGGATCAACAATAATATGAAGAAAGGAAAACGCTTTGTGAACTCCCGAAGTTTGAAAGTTTGTTTTGCTACAACATGGAGATTCGTTTCTTGTTAGCGAACCATTCCATTTAGTTCCCTAATTCGTCAGTTAAGTCAAAAATCTGTAAAAATTCATAGACTGAGACATGTTGATAAATACCACAACCTACATGTAATGATTTAAATGCATCCCTCTCAGAAAATAACTGCCTTCCAGTTGTAAGAAAGCATGTTTCAGCTTATTGAGAACAGTTTCAAGTTAAGTAAAAATCGATAGAGTTCACAGATTTCTACTAACGAGATGGAGCACATTTCATTTCATCTTAGCGAAATTCTGATTTCCTTCAACATAAAGAAACTAGCTGCTCATTTTTTTCATTGAGGCTCGTCTTGGAAAAGCGAAGGGAATCAGCGGTTAGAACTGTGTAAAAAGATAAAAGATAAAGCTCTCGGCGTTCATCAATTCCTGAGGAATGCGCCATGGATACAAGTTCAACAATAAGCATCGTTAGAGGTGATTGAATGCATATCTGGCATTTACAATGACTCGTGGTGGCCTACCGATATGTCGAGCCAATGCGCTACTATCCTTTCAGACAAGTCTGATACCAATTTGCAGACCTCGAAAGGATGGAGGGCTTGGTGAGCCTGGGGCGCGGAGATCGATTCTACGTGTGTGTTGCAGAGCGCCTCGAAGCACTGCGCCACATGCGCCTTCTCGTTCTCCTTATACGCGATAAAATCAAGCTACAACGACGAAGTCCAAACGTTCTATTTCGACTTGGAAAACTTCTATACAGAAAACCGTAATTCTTATACGACCACCATAGGTGATTTCAATGATGACACCCTTGGACCGAAATAGAACAAAGAAACTGAGCGACTATGTGAAATTATCATTATGACTGAAGCCAATCATGGTAACTTGGATTTGCAGAAGCTCTACTCACAATATGAAACACTATTAAAAACTATCACAAAAAACCTCGCATAACGTTGTTCCACACAGCTCTACACGGAGACTGAAAATCTCCTTCACACAGTGCTTTCCTGTTTTGTAAAAAGGTTAGCAGAGCCGAGAAATTATGAAATGAAACCTTAAAACTCCCAGACTAGAATTTTTCCAATATCCGATAGTCTACCTTACCGGTAAAGAACCGTGCAACAGGCGCAAAAACGCCTAGTTTCTGTCGTTACGTACCGGTCAGTTTTTCTACAATAGACGCTATTTGGATAACCAGAAGATTTGAAGGGTTGGAAATGTGACAGGACTCTAAAAGAGACTTTGCTTTGTCGTTTTAAGAGTATGGATGATATGTATGCCAGTATTTACTATGTTATTGTGTTACACCATAAAAACACCGTAGTACCAACACTTCGAACGATTTTGCACCCTATGTTGATACTTTTCTATGCTTCATATATATATATATATCTATTTATATTATATCTATATTTATATCTATCTATTATATCTATCCATATTTATATCTATCTAGATCTATTTATATATATATTTCCATTGCTATGGACATTTCTATATTTTAACCTGTCCATTCTATATAATAACTATGATTCATCATATCTATTGGAAATGAAACAACAATCAATTACAGGTAAAATCACGGGTTAGCGAACTCGTTCGAAAAGCGATTTTTTGTGTATTCCTATGAAAAAGAGTATAGAGAACATTCTTCATCAACATAGGAATGTTCTTTATGTAAAATATTTCAAACACTTCAATGATGCTGAGATATTTGCGAAACTTCGGACCGCAGGTGTATGCAGTGGGAACGAACACGCGCTGTTGTCCTTACCGGGGAGCAGCGCACTTCACCACCACACCATCCGGGTCCTTTTTGTCTGTCCCACCGCATACACCTGCGGTCCGGAGTTTTGCAAATATCTCAGCATCATTGAAGTTATATTTCACAATGTATACACTGCCGTTAAAGAGAGTAGGCAGTAAATAATAAGTTAAAATTGTGATTATAACTGCGGCCTCATCTTAACTGGGTTCGTTACCGATTTGGGCCCCTCAGATCAATCCCGCTGACGGGTGATTGCTGATGGCGAAAGATTGATAGAACTAGCTGAGAGACAGGCAAAACGAAGGATCCGGATGGTGTGGTGGTGAAGTGCGCTGCTCCCCGGTAAGGACAACAGCGCGTGTTCGTTCCCCACCGCATACACCTGCGGTCCGGAGTTTTGCAAATATCTCAGCATCATTGAAGTTATATTTCACAATGTATACCCTGCCGTTAAAAAGAGTAGGTAGTAAATAATAAGTTAAAACTGTGATTTCAAACACTGCTTCCGGTGACCTTATTCCTAATTTTCTATATTGGTGGGTGTTTCTTGTTCACCTGTAACTATCTTAAATCTATCTTCGCATCTTCTCTTAATTGCCTCTTAGTCACTATCTCACGCAGTTGCCTCGCTGGTGGCTGGAAAGTGATTCTACAACGTCTTTCAATAAACTGCTCTTCTGATAAACTGATAGCTATAGCTGAGAGACAAGCGAAACGAAGAAACCGCATGGTGTAGTGGTGAACGCGTTACTCCCCGGAAAGGACAATAGCGCGTTCGTTCCCCACCATAGACACCTGCGGTCCAGAGTTTTGCAAATATCTCAGCAACGTTGTGGTTGTATTTCGCTTAGTACCCTGCCGCGAAATTATAGTAGGCAGAAAATAAAAAAGGTATAACAAAACTGCTCTTCTTTGTCCGGCAGTTCGGGCACTGAATCAGCAGTAGTCATATGAATCTACTTTCCAGCATCTTCCGTCCCGAAGAAGTTTCCGAACAAGAAGCTACACCCTTTCACATGTAGTCCTATCAGATTGTGCTAGTAAAAGAAACCTTTAGAACTTCTCTGTAGGCACTGTCCTTAGTTCCTTCTGGCAAGACTCCACCCACTACAGAAGGAATACAAGCAGCCCACGGGGCATTCGTCTTCAAGTGTTCCTAGCGTTCGTCCGATGTTCATCCAATTCCTCAGTCCCTTAGTGCTCCACCTCCAGTGTCCACCTAACTTCCTTCAACTGCATCGCTTGTTCTCATTTCAATCTCGTCCGTACCACTTTAACCACATATCGCCACATACCAGATATTATTATTGTCCAGTTGTTATTGTTATAAACTACTGTTACCCAAACTCGAGGTTGTCCACGACAGTTACGTGGACAGTCCCGCGTGGCAGCTGCAAGGACTAATATTTGCAACGACATGGTATTCATATAAAGTTGGGAGCTCAGCTCGCAACAAAGACAGAGCTTTCGCGATCAACGCCCAACACAATATCAGTATTGAAGAAGCTATCATTTGGTTACAATAGGCTTATAGAAAGACTTCTATGTCCCAAAATAAACCACCGGAAATAATAGTACACCCGTAAAGGCCATACCGAACTGTGTCCTCTTCCAAATGACTCTCGTAGAAGTCACGTCGTCGCGAAAGTGCGAATGAAGTCTAATGTATGGCGGATACCTGAAGTGATTGAAAATCGTACATTACTGATAGTTTCGCTCTAGAACTGGAAGGAAGAGCTTGAGAAGCGTACAGAACCATAGAAGAGATACTAGGAGAAAAAAGACTAGGTGATGATTCCTGTTCTTATTCGACGTTTCTAAGCATAGGTTCACCCCAGTTTGGATACCATACAAGGAAGATGAAAGACCACTCAACGTTATTGTAAACATTCTCGAAAAAGTCAAGCTAAGAGTATCACGTAACAGCAATCTGGAAAAGGATTCGGACGTCCGCGCTTAAGTCAACGATCGAAGGGCGCTGCACAAGCAAGATGTGAGGCAGGCACGCACGTTATGCGCTTTAACAAAGGCCAGTAGACACGACCCGTTAGGGACTGCCTACCATGGAATGTCGAAGAGCACAACAGGAATATGACAACGACAAGTGAAGTGTGAAGTGAATGCTCGAGACACTCGACCATCGAAGGATGATACTACAAGCGCTACACTCAGAAAAACAGAACTCATAGAACTCAAAGCCGAGTTCTTTTTTGTTTTATTCCATTATCAAGTAATAGCCTAAATTCACTGGTTCACTCCATTAGATCAACAATAACTACGCTATTCAAAGTAATACAATATTATGCCACAGACTGGAACACAAGTACGTCTCAGAGCAGATGCTACCTTAAAGCTAAATTCAGTTGTTCGAAAGAAGACTTTTTTTAGGACTTTCATGAGAGCTTTCTTCCCAAGCTATTTTCTCAATGTGCAATACAGCTTCACAGTCGGTGGTGTACCACAAAGATACAGTCAAGCATTTGAAACACAGAACACAATGGATGTTCTTCCCATCAAAGTATTCAGCACTAGGAACTGTTTATTTAACAGAGGTCTTAACAGATGAGAGAATGAAACCAATAACTGAGACCAATCACGGAACTTATTTCGGCATTTACCGCCGTGGAGTCGGAGTGTAGGCCATTTTTTGCTTGCTTAGATCACCGCCGATTCCATAGCGCTCCTTCACTTCCTCTAGACGCTCTTTGGCCTAGAAGTAATGTTTCCTTGAAAAGCATTCAATTTAATTGACTTTTCATCACTTCAATTGAAAAGGGTGTGGATTCGGAATCTATAGATTGTGAAAAGGTACGTTAAGAGAGTCGGTCTAATTTGTGAAAGCAATACCAGATACTCGTATATAATGCTGAGATATTTGCAAAACTCCAGACCGCAGGTGTATGCGGTGGGGAACGAACACGCGTTATTGTCCTTACCGGGGAGTAGCGCACCCGTTGACGGGTGATTGCTGATGGCAAAAGATCGATAGAACTAGCTGAGAGACAGGCAAAACGAAGGACCCGGATGGTGTGGTGGTGAAGTGCGCTACACCTCGGTAAGGATAATAGCGCGTGTTCGTTCCCCACCGCATACACCTGCGGTCCGGAGTTTTGCAAATACCTCAGCATTATATACGAGTTATATTTCGCAACATACCCGGCCATTAAAAAGAAAACGGCAGTAAATAAAAGGGTTAATACCAGATACATTCAAACCTTCATACGTAAACCACTCGAATGGTAATTCAGTGGCATTCTTAGCGAAATATTAATAGTATTAACGTAAACGTTAATTTTCACTCTAGCTGAGATCCGATTTTCTTTCTAGCGCTAAGTAAACTGAACACTTCTATAGATATGTTGTAAAAGAAAAGCTCGGACATTTTTATGAACGAACCTTTTCGGTGTCCATTCTTTTGTACGCTTTCGTGGCTTGATAGTACAGGACAACTAAGTACCTAGATACCAGATAACAACACCAATAAGATCTAAACACTATGGTCGTAATAGATTGAAAAAAGAATAAAGGATGAAGCTCTCGGAGTTGACCAATCCCTGACGGAGAAGCCTTGCATCCGACTTCATTAAGCATCGCTAGAGGTGACTGAATGCATATCTGGCCTATAAAATGACTCGCGGTTGCCTATCGATGTATCGAGTCAGTGCTCCTACACTCCCAGACTAGTGCGGTTGCCGACCCGGAGTGATATAAGGCATGGTGAGTTTAGGGGACGGGGATCGATCCCATGTGTATTCCAAAGGACCTCCAACCACTGCGCTACAAGAGCACCCTTTGCAGTAGGCTAGACATAACAATCAGAGTTGTCTCAGAAAACGAACCTGTTCGAAACGTTGAAACCACTCATGTGTTCACAGGCGTTTTTAGCATCATAAATATCCTCATAAACCACAAAAGCAGTTCCTCTGGTTTCATTCGTTGATCCTCTAAAAATTCCAACGCCCATCAGCAAAAGCAAAATGTATGAAGTTAAGGATATGATGGTTAAACTATGGTGAACAACGGAGAATATTAAACATTACAAGAAAAAAAGGCACGAATGCCGAAGTTTCTTACACTCTTATCTGCCGAATCGCTCCGAATTTACCGAAAATCTCATACATCTCGCTGGAAGTGATCTTATACGGAAGATTTTTGATGTACAAAATACGATTTACCTAAAATGGCTTGTATAAAACCAGGATAAGATCAGATGAAAAAAGAAGTGTCTCTATCAAAAGTTTGGCCCCTAAAACCTCAAAGACTGACCTCTGGCGGTAATTTAGAATTACGTCCACGTGCAGCCATAGCCATTTTTGATGCTTTTTCGAAAAATGAATGGGTACCCCAAACGAATGTTTGAATAAGGAACAAAGAGATGAACAAGTAAGAAAAGTTACACTCTTGTAAAACAGATGTCGATGTCATAACGTAAAAATGTACCCGGTAATTAGACTGCATTGTATTTAATTATCTTGATACTTACTTGATACTTGAACGGTCTGTCATCACTAGTTGTGCGGGCCCCAGCATAATCACCACTTTTCGGAGATTTGCTGGTCAAGCCATTGTGGTTCACTGGAATCCCGAGGACAGCCTAGCCAAAGTCTGCCCCAGGTCGTCACCACGACAGGCAGTCGCAGCCCTCGTCGATCAGAGGGAGATTTACCACCATGCGACTTTCATGCTAAGACGGTAGTAGATCCTGGTATTGGTTTGCTCTTAACTAGGCTTCCTGATGGAAACGCCGGACTCCTCGGCTTGGAGACCCCGCCAGGGGGACGAATCCCCTCACTGTCCATCGCAGCCCCAGGAACACCTCTCAGCCACGGTGAGGCGGCAAACCGTTAGAAGAATCATTTAATTATCTATTAAGTGATTAGCTAAACATAATAAGATGGGATATAATTAGAGCGGATACAAATTCTAAACGGAGAGTACATGTTATCCTCAAAACGAATTCATATAAAAGGCATCATAGCACGTTGCTTGGTCTGAAGTTACGGTGTAAGTGTGCTAAATGACGCGTAATTTAGGAGTTTATTTTCAAAGATTTTACATGATTTAAAGACTTAAAGAAGTATGTCGGTGTTTTAATTGCATTTTTGCGATTTTGTTTTGCATGGCCCGTCGCCACACCTGTTGTGTGGATCTTAGCATTTCTTGCATTGCATTCTTTTTTCTAATTTCTCCTAGTTTTTCTAGAATTCATCCTTCACAAAGGTTTTCAAATAGCCCGCGTGTTGTTTTGGTTGCTGTTTAAGGATTTCATCTTCATAATGGATGTCGTATAATGCTGGTCGAGTTAGCCCTCCTTTTAGTTCTGGAGATAGCCAGTATAAGACGTTCCCACGTGGACTGGAGGGGAGCGTTGGGAGGAGGATCGAACTAGTTCCTTTGCTTCCTGTTCGTCGGAATCACTAAACACGGCGCTATCTGCGCCCATAGTGTATCCAATGCGTTCATAGAATGTAAATCTGTTTCATTATGTAGCAGTATAATTGCTGTGGTTGATGTTTTAGTGTTTTCTTCATCTCCAGAGTCGTGTCAATTCAAATTCTTAGTACACGGGTCTCGTCTAAGTTGTTGGTTGAGTAGACTAGCGTGAACGTCTACAGTTTTAAACCCTGGTGTTTATTGAGCCAGCATTTATGACGGTTCATCTAGCTTTCTACACAGTAATTACTTGAGATGTGAAATTACTAGAGCCGGAAATCCATGTAGTTTCCTTGTAGGTTAGCTGTACCGTTTTGTGCCCCTTCTTTCAGGTAAATGCAGATTAATAAGGTGAAAACGCGAAAAGGAAAACGGGTACTGGATGATCGAGCGCCAAAAGTTGTGGAGAATGACAAGACAGCACTTATCGTCAAAGGTTCGAAGACGAACCAAACCGTCGTTGATGCCATGTTGGATATCTACTTGCTGAAAAAGCCATTGGCTCAACAATTAAAGAGGTGGTTGAATTTTGTTGGACGATCCGACTGTGTTACACTCCTAAGATTTCGCTTCCTTTGTGAAGTTTTTTTTGACAGCAAATTTGTTCCTATTGCTAAATTAAGAGCGCGTGTAGCAGTGGTTAGAGCCGTGCTGCAATACGTACGGGATTGATCCTCGCGCCCCAGGCCCACCTAGCCTTCTTCCATCCCTCCGGGGTCGGCAAATTGGTAGCAGCCTTGTTCGTGTGGGGATAGCAGCACTAGTTCGATACATCGGTTTGCCACCGCCTGGTCTGCATTCAATCATCCCCAACGATATTTAATGAAGTCGAATGCACGCCGTATCCCTCAGGGATTGATCAGCGCCGAGAGCTTTATTTTATCCTTTTATTGCTAAATTATTTGATAGGGGTAACAAAATTGATTGCTTTTAAGAAATTTGAACGTGAATGGAGCAGCAGTTTTTTTACCGTTATGAGTTTTGTAGATATGAGTGTGGATTACTATATCTCATTTGCTCTTGTTTCATAACTTCCCTTTATTGCAGGCATAATCCGTTCCATCTCTTTGATGATGAGACGCCTATAGAGAAGTTTATGGAAAAGTATGACTCATCGCTTTTTCTGTTTGGTTCGTCCACAAAAAAGCGTCCGAACGGCCTCATCTTTGGCCGAGCTCATGATGGACATATTCTGGATATGGCTGAGCTACACATAGTGAAGTATATTCCCGCTCGTGATTTTTTGGTAGATGTTTTTTCATTCATTTTCCCTTCATTTTCTTTTTTTCCTTGTAGAAGCAGATGTATCTATACATTGATTTATGGGTTTTAGACACCAAAAGTAGTATTGGGCACAAAGCCATGCATATGTTTGGAAGGTCCTCTATTCGAATCCGACCCTACCATGAAGAGGATAGGAAACCTATTGGTCGACTTCTTTAAGGGACCAACTGTAGACATGGTAGTTTACTATTTTTTGTGACCTCAACTTTTATTAGGTGTTCTATAGTATAAGATTAAGCGGCTAGCAGCTATATCTAACTGTTTTGCTACTTTTTTTATTTCGACATGTTTTGTAAAGTGATGCTCCAATAATGACATCTGAATTGTAGATCCGCCTTGAAGGACTTGAGGCTTTTCTATCGTTTACAGCGGAGGATAATATGATCTACATGAGAGTTTATAGGTAAAGTCAATTATTTAACACCACTTGTAACTGCATTCTGCCTGGGCTTATCCGTTATTTGCAAATTAATTGGATATTTGGATGCCCCATCTTCACTGGATGCGCGAACTCCAGCATAATTTCCATTTTTTCTTTTTTGGGAACAGAAGGAGGAGGATTTTGCTAGTTTAGCCATTGTGGTTCCCTGGAGTCCCAAGTACAACCTGATCAATGTCTACCCCAGTTCGTCACCATCACAGGCAGTCGCGGCCTTTGTGGATCAGAGCGAGATTTGCCATCATGCGGCTAGTTTGGTACCAGGACTATGATGGACCCTGGTATTGGTTTACTCTACGATATGCTTTCTGATAGAAACTACGGACTCCTCACTTTGGAAGGTCCAGCAGGGTAGACGGATCCCCCGCTGCACATCTTATCCTGACACCCACATCTCCCAGCTGTGATGGGGCGGTAAACCATTGGGAGCTATTTGCAAATTAATATTAGTTTTATCTTTTTTCTGTAATGGAATGATATTTGCTCGCTATAAGTCAGTTCCGCGCAAATATAGATGCAATTTTTAGCCAGTAGCTGTATGATGAAAATGTGGAATTTTAGGGGAAGTTGTCGAGCTCAATTACCATTCAGAGGCACTGCTTTGTGGTAAAAAACTTTATCAATTGTTAAACGGTCCAGCTTACTTTTTTTCCGTATGGATCTACTTCAGCTGTTACTTGGAACTAATTGTGAATCAAAGATCGACTTTATCATGCGCTTATCATTTTAGCCTTCACTCTTTTAAATACTTAGTTATTGAAGTTGGTTTGAGAACTGCTGATAGCTCCTCAATAATCGGAGAATTTGAAGAGTTAGTGGACTTAACGGACTATCTCTTTAGTGAGATGGTGTATGATTCTCCAGATTGATTCCTCAAGTTGTTTAGAATTGAGATTTATAGCGATTTGAAAGGAATCTTTAGTAATAATTAGAATTGTAGTCCAATATACACCTGGTCGCCAGTTTGAGCATAGCTCGGGCCAACCATATTTTCTATCTGACCAGGAAACTCTGCGATCCTCAAACACTGGTAAGCAGTGGTATCTTGTTGGTCTAAATGTTTTCACTTCAACTGGTAAAGTTCATTAAATCAGATGTGCTTGTTCAAATTTTACAGGAACATTTTCTCTTGTGGTCCATTTGAACTCACAGATGAAATCGCTGGAATATACGTCACTAACGAATTATTTCATAGCTAAACATAGTCAAAATCAAGACTAAGATATGGATTCTGGGAAGCCAACTGCAGTTGTTTGAATCATGCAACTGTTTTTGTAGTAACATTTTAGTGGATCTACATAAACTTTATCAGGAGTTATGTTGGAAGTGTACATGTTTATTGCGCCGCCACAATTGTCTATTTCTTTTTGTTTCGTTTCTAAGTTCGTTGAAGTGCGTTATTTGAACAGTTACAGAGTGCTGATGTTGAAGAGCGCTACCAACGTTCCCAGGATAGAACTCCTAGAAATGGGTCCGTCAATCGATTTCAGGGTGGATCGTACGAAGATCGCCAGCGACAGTTTATTCAAAGCTGCTTGCAAGAAGCCAAAAGCGTTACTGGTAATTTTAAGGACATATACAATATTCGATTGTCGAGACTTACAATGATAGATGGTATACCACAGATCCATCTGATTAAAATGTCAATTATTAGATACGTAGTTATAGAGACGGTTGATAGAACACGTACCATGCACATCTACCAACTCTAACTTTCGGTAATCTCTTTTTCTACATATTGGACAGTTGGCGACACGTTCAGCGAATACCTCGGATTAAGTTACTGATGATTTCTGTCAAGCTCATTTCACTCTAGTTTAGACCTATTTGTGTTTTTTGGGTCAAGAAATTGGGGTGAAGAATAAGTTTCACACATAAAAGTTGAGCTCGAACTGTTCTACAGCGGTGGTAAAGACTAACTTTTCGCTTTCTCTTCGAATTATCTTGTTTAGTCAATGCATAATCCGTGCAGCATTTGGACTGTACAGAGTAGGGAATTTGAAAAAAACTGGGTTTCCAGAAATGTTGCAAGAATTTTACATTTCAACTATCCTCATCTGTTTGGATAACTTATCAGTATAGCACTAAGCATTTTTAGACGAAACGACGGAAAAACGTGTCTGAGGATGTGCTAGGTAACCAACTTGCTCGAGTTCACATTGGAAAGCAGAACACACGCGCCATCCAAATCAGGTGTGCTCTCCAAGTTTTACATCAAAAGCATCGTTTGAGAATAAGATACTATTATTTTATGGCAGGCAAGTTCAAGGGAATTATGTTCAACGTGGCGCGTATGTGGCGCAATGGTCGGAGGGGCACCCTGGGGTACCATGGGATCGACTCCTGCGTCCCAAGCTCACCAAGCTTTCCACCCCTTTGGGGTCGGCAAATTGGTACCAGACTTGTCTGGGAGGATAGCAGCGCTGATTCGATACATCGGTAAGCCATCGCTAGTCATTGTAAAGGCCTATTGTTAAACGCCGAGAGCTCTCTCTTTTTTTATACTGTCCAACGCATCGCGTTGCAAAGCATATCCTAAATACAGTGTATAGTACTTTTATGTTGTATATCATACTTTCTTGTTTTAACCCTTTAACCTAACTCTTAGCTTTTCAATTCTAGCCGAAAACTACTTATATAGCCGCTTCTACACAGGTAACATCTATCTTTTATATTGCAGAAAAGTCAAAGCTCTTAAAAAGTCGAGGGAGGAATCATCTGCTGCACAGATAGGAATGACAAAAGGCGACTCACATTTTTACGAGGACGGAGAAAATTTTGATAATGATGGCATGGAGTAGTTTATCGTTGTTTGTCATTTTTTGTTGTCTGCCGCTTGTTATTGTTTGACATTAGAAGATTTATTAAACCAACAAATAAATGCGGTACAACTATAGGAGTTATACCCTAGATTTTTGGAGGTAATGATAGGACGGTAGAAGTCTTCGAAGTACTTCAAGTTGACCATCTGGGACCTAAAAATGCTTGCAAAGAAGTACTTCAATAGGGAAAGACTAATGATCACGACTACGTACTGGTGGGTTATCACTTGCAACTCTTCGCTCGTTCCACTGCCCGTAAATGACGGTTCGTTCAGGAAGTGTTTCTTTGGCGTGCACTTTACATCGAACTCCTACCGAACAACCGTTGCTCACACAACTATTCGAGCTCACCTCACACTGCACATGGAACACATTGTTGTTCCCCACACGACGGGCGTACAGTACTAAAATCGTGCACTGAAGTCATTTTAGGCCATCATTACTGCTACTATTGCTTTTATTCCTCCTAACGGTTTACCGCCTCATCGTAGCTGGGAGGTGCTCCTGGGTGTGGACTGCGATGTGCAGTGGGAGGATTCGTCCCTTCACCAGGGTGTCGCAAGCTCAGAATGAGCCCGGCGTTTCCATCAGGAAGCGTAGCTAAGAGTAAACCAATACCAGGATCCACCACCGTCTTGGTATCAAAGTCGCATGGTGTCCAATCTCCCTCTGATCCACTAGGGCAGCAACTGCCTGTTGTGGTGACGACCTGGGACAGACTTTGATCAGGTTGTCCTTGGGATTCCAGAGAGCCACAACCAGCAAATCTCCGAAAAATGGAGATTATGCTGGGGTCCGCACAACCAGTGAGGAAGGGCCTTCAAGTACCAAGTATCAAGTACTACTTTTATTAAGTGGATTATGCAATTGCAGCTCCGTAAACACGGAACCATACCGGACTCTTTCGGTCGAAAATCGCTTTGAAGAAAGGAAATCAGTGGCAAAAGCCAAGTTATCAGACGTAAAGCAATATGTTGAACCAACCTGCTCCGACCTCGATTACGTTGTGGTTCCCGATTTCCATAACTTTCTCCTCGCCCTCGAGTCTGTAAAGCAAAAAAAATATGAGTAGATACTCATTGTTAACAACAGTTTTGTCTCTAATGGGCTTTTTAAGCTCTGCCTATTAGCTATGCAAGTTGGAAGTTCGTCCTTAAGAATATCTTAATACCCAAGTTCTTGATGTTCAAACAAACTCAAGCTTTAGAATCCCTTTAGCTAAAACCACCAATACCGTCCATCCAGGAAGTGAAGTGATATTTTGGCAACGACTACTGATATGAGAACTGAAAAGCGGTGTGCAATAAGGCCAAAGAAGGAATGAATGATATCGGCTCAAGGAGCTTGTTCTAATCAAATTATCCACTGTCGAAACATAGACTGATGACAAATATTCGTAAAGGAATGAAGTTCCTTGAGGGTGGAAACTATTAAGAAACTTAAAAATCACTTATCTGTTGTTGAACTAGTGTGATGCTCTATTAACTTCGATTTCAGATTAGCAGGAAAACTGATATCTATGCTATAGATTAGACAAAGAGATATACTTTGAACAGACTTTTTCACTCTAGGAGTCAGTGAAAAGGCTCAAATACTTGGATACTTGGATGCCCGTCTTCACTGGTTGTGCGATCCCCATCATATCTTCTATGTTTCACGAGTTTTGCTGGTTCAGCCATTGTGGTTCCCAGGAGTTCCGAGGTCACTCAAGACAAAGTCTACCCTAGACACCACGGGTAGCCGCCACCCTTGTGGATAAGAGGGAGATTTACCACCATGCAACTAATTTGATACTAGGGTGGTGGTGGACCCTGGTTTTCGTCAACTCTTAGCTGGGTTTCCTTATGGAAACGCAGGACTCCCTTTCAGCTTGGGGCACTGTACGTTGCACCCCAATACCCAGGAACACTTAACTACGACGAGGCAGTAAACCGCTGGGAGGAGAGGCCTAAATGGTTGGTGAAAAGCAGAAATCTTCGGTGTTGATGAGGAAAACGTACATATATGATGGTACATCTATTTAATAATGAGATCCATTCATGTGTGCAGCCATTAAACTGAAGCTGAGAACAATCAGATGAACAACCGCTTGTTTCTGGAAATCAGAAGTGCTATGGAGGAGGTTACGATCTTTCCCTGACACTTAGCTATTCCCTGTGAGCAAAAACAACTACTGTAGTAAATTTTTGTTAGTATACACATTCAGCAAATAGGACCGTTCACCCACAATGTCCACATATTGTTTTAGAATATTGGAAACTGTGAGCCTAATTTCATTTTTTAAGTGGTCTTCGACAAAGACGAGATAGTTATTGTCGTTTTAGCGATGAATTCCTGCATAAGGACCATTGTTCTTTAGGAAAACAGCCTTGTTATTCCTGAGGAAACGATGGACTAGTACTTACAATATTTCGAGCTACAACGGTGAAGATCACAACTGATCGTTTAAGACAACAAAGGAAGAGATTCTTAACAAACCTCTCCACCCCACGAAAAATATTTACGGCCCATTGATTCATATTTTCCGAAGGATAATATTAATATTGTACTGTTTTCGAAATTCAGCAACCATTTAGGAACGAATTCTTCCCGGTGATTTCCAAACAAAAACCTATCCTACTAGCCATGCATTATTTCAGTACTGTATATACTCACATATTTTCAATAAGACTTCGCTCCTCAATAATATTGTTCTCTCCGATGATGATCGGCGCATTGGTGGCTTTGATGACTGCGAAAGGATGCACAACAGTCCCGGCGCCGATACGAATATCACCTTCTAGGGTCGCCTCTCGGCATACAATCGCCGTCGGATGAATTTCGATCCTGAAAGTTCTTTATACTCCTGTTGAGCAAAGACTCAGTGCCAGTAAGATCCTGAAAGCATTTAGAAGGAGGATTCGTGCTGGATATTGTCTATATAAAGAAAAAACCAAAGAAACAACCAAATATGAAGGCTTAACTCAATAAAACATCAGATAGGAGAACATAAGACGCGAGGAAATTGTGGTGACTGTAGCCCGAACCTCATATTCCCTATGGGCCTTATACTCCCTATTAACCCTATATTAGGATCTATGGAGTATGTTTGATCCAGCCGTGGATATCGGAATCCTTTAACTTCATTTTAAAAACTCTTAAAACTTTCCTCTTACTTGGCTACAACACATTACACAAATCGCGTTCTGTTGTCTATTTCTGCTCAATCCGAATAAGGAAAAGACTCACCCCTCTGGCAGTGGATGTTGCGCCATTGTGATATTTCCTTCGATGATAGTTCGGTTATAGGAAGTCCATGAAACCAAACACTATCAGATTCTTAAAGAAAGTAAGTTTCTACTGAATGAATAATTGTGCAGAGATGTAGCCCCTGAGCTTACTTGTCGAAGAACGAGTAAGTATGATTGGGGAGAAAACCTATAGATCAGTATAAGGTTATAAACTGCTTCTTGAAGACTACGTGAAAGACCAAGTCAATCGGCCACAGTCCTCTTCCGTCTCCACTGTCTAGTGTTCTTTGGCGTATCGTTGCCTTTAATTTCATTTGCTGGACTTTTATTATCTCCTTAATACTACTTTTCTACTGTTTATCAGTTTGAAGGCGTCGGATGGTGCACAATTGAAGGCCTTGAAGCCAATCGTTCATGGATTTACTTTACTTCATCCTGAAACAACTGTGATTTGGAAATAACAGGTCGTATCTTCGCTAAAACTAGACAGACTTAGTTGTTTTACAATGTACTCTGCATGTGGCATCCCCTTGATCACTCTCACCCATCACAACGGCACCTGACATTCAGGTGCCGTTGACTCTTCCCGTGGTATGGCTGGCCTTCTCTGGATTCATTCTTCATCGTGGATCCCAACTGTTTCACTGTGGTTCTCCTCGAAAGAATATGATCTCGTTGACAAACTGTAGGTTTGAAGGAGATTTTCATTTGATTCATGTGTGTTTTGCTCCGAAGAGAGAGAATGCGTACCTCATTGGGCTGTTAAGCTAACATGAGGTTGATGAAGATGTTTATTCGGTTGACGTTTGGATGCTTTCGTCCTCATCACAGCCGGACTGACTCGAGTCGATTGTACACAGACAGATTATTATTAACTGAAAGTCATATCAACACCAACCGTCCTGTATGAAAGAGCGCTTCTGGGTGAAGTTGGCTCATTCAAGTGATGCACCACTGAAGAAGATCCGACACTCGATACGATGACGACGACGTGGCCACATCGAAAAGACGAACCGTTGTTGTCCATCGACTCGGATCTTCGGCTCTTATGAAGACGAAGATGTTGAAACGTTAACCGAATAAACGTATTTGTCAACCAGGTGTTAGCTTAATAATTTATGAAGGTATTGATTATTTCTCCTCCCAACGGTTGACCGCCGCATCGTGGCTTGGAGATGTTCCTGGGTGTCGGACTGCGATGTACAGCGGGGGGATTCGTCCCCCGACAGGGGCTCCCAAACTGAGAATGAGTCCGGCGTTTCCAACAGGAAGCCTAGCTAGGATTAAACCAATACCAGGATCCAACACCGTCCTGGTATCAAAGTCGCATGGTGGCAAATCTCCCTCTGATCCACGGTGGCTGCGACTGCCTGTGGTAATGAAGACCTGGGGCGGACTTTGGTCAGGCTGACTTTGGGAATCCAGGGAACCACACTAGCTTAACCAGCAAATCTCCAAAAAATGGTGATTATGCTGGGGCCCGCACAACCAGTGAGGACGGGCCGTTCAAGTATCAAGTATCAAGTACTGATTATTGCTATCGAAGTTAAGTGATGCTCGTTTTGAAAAATAAGACTTTGTAGTTCGCTTCAATACGGAAGTGGGCATCTTCAGTGAGATATGGTGATCCTTAAGACTCATTGAGCTATGAACTTAGTAAAATTCATCGTGGTTATGTCATCATGGTACATTTCTGATAGCAATTAGGCGGAAGTCTTGTTTAGCACTGGTTTCGTTCTTTGGTAGGTGACAGCTGACGGAATGATCTTTCAAGCTGCTCTACACTTTTTCGTAGTCAACAAAAGTTAAGGCAACCGCTAGGACGTCTCTGTCACTCTAACACTGTCTTCTGCCGTCTTCTAGATCAAATTCTTCTGAAGAAAGTAGGACGATAGTTAATGGTCAAAACTTCTGATAACCTTCTTTAACACTTGTGACGACGCCTAATTTTTCGCTGTGCTTGCATTAGCACCTATAGGTGTTACACCAGCTAATCCCGCAACTTCTTCATGAAACCTACAAAGGTAACTTTTCGCCAGTGTTAGTAGCGTGTTGAGTTCTTTCTTCTGAGAGAAATTTTAGGAACTCGATTTGCTTGACATTTTTTCTCATTGGCAACTTTCTGTAATCCACCACTGAGCACACACTTTCATTCTTGTCTGATGCACTACAGGATGATATATTTAGTTCTCGATATTCTTATTGAGCAAACACGAGGTGTTACTTTATTCTTTATTCCGTTGAAGCTGACGTTTCAGTGGATTTCGCCTTCTTCAGAGCCTGGAAGGGTATATTGATAGGTAATTTACTATGTCAAACGCTCCAATAACACATACAGAAAGATGAAAACCCAAATCGCAATCACACAATCAACAACTTCTCGAAAAACCCACTGTTTATTACGTGTCTTCCACTGAGGAAGAACAGCTGATTAGCGTTGCATATGGTCGATGAGTGCAGCACCGCGCATCAAAAGTCGATGCGAACATATAGCGCGAGATCACGTGTGATCTCCGGGCATTCCTCCCTGTTATCCATTCCAGGGTTCTTGGCATTTATCCAAACGTCCTCTAGAAGTTTGCGCTATGGTGTTTTTGTGTCCCATGCGAGGATAGTGACTTTTATATCAAAGTGGTCTCCGCTATGTTTTTCTATCCCATGCAGCCCTAGTGAGCTACTTAGTCTCGCTCTTCGCTTGCCATCTAGGTGTTCCTTTATGCGGGTACAGAAAGGTGTGCGCGTTTCGCCAATAAATTCATCTCCGCAAGTTTTACAAGAGTACAAGTATATCGTACCTGAACTCATGCAGTCATCATCCCTCCCGTAAGGGCACATTACGCAACTCTGTGTTTCGCATAGACGGTCATAAAGGCGGTTACGAACTAATTGACGACGAAGAGCATCGAGTGATATATCGACTATAACTACCGATTAATGCCCAGACCTGCCCTTCTAAAGCATCATTTTGTAGCCACACTTACTTTACCGCTATTGAAGGGCAACATAAACAGGGTTTTGTCTTGGCCACGTTTTTCGTTTTGTGGCGTAGCTCTCCTTCGAAACTTATCTCGTGGGGTTACTATTCCGTAGTCATTGGAAGTGGCTATTCGTCGAGTCAAGTTACGCGATTCCTCTTTTATTTTTCTCTTCGTGCACACAGAAGTGGCTATTCGAAACATGTTTCTTACAAGCGCCCTCTTGGTGTGTGAAGGGTGGAAATAGAGGAAATGAACGAGGATGTTCTTGTTACTTGGTTTTAGGTACCGTTTTGTCATCTAACCATTATCCGATAAGTTGATTTGAACGTTAAGAAATGGAGGCCAATTTTCTTTTGGTTCCTATCGGGTGAATTTGATGTACTCACACTGCTTATTCAACAATTCGAAGCATTTGTCCATCTCCTTCTCAGTAGAGAAGATGACAAAACGGTCATTTATATATCTCCAGTAGAGTACCGGCCAAAAATCAATAACGGAAGCTTCTATTTTAGACATAAACGCAATGGCAAGACTTGGTGCCAGTCACCGTCCCATTTCCAACAAGCTTGTGGACCTAAGAAAACCCTAGTAAGGCTATCTTCCCATAGAACTACCCTCTACCGCCGTATAACCTATGAATAAGAAGAAAAAGCCGCAAATCCTCATGCAGGAGCCGAATCCACTCATCAACTCTCCACTCCTTTTGTGGGCTACTGTATTCTTGATAAGAAAACACGACGTTATTACTGCACTTTCACCGCTTTATGTGAGTATTGCACTGGGTATTTCATGCAGAGAATTATGGATTACGTCGAAAGACAACAAAACATGTGAAAGATTTGATGGATAGCGCAGGTCATGTGATCGCCGGCCAACACACATTTTGTTTGGCGACACATGCAGTCGCTTTGAGTGCGAGGTCCATATTTGTGTAGCTGATGCTTAATGATCCACCACACCAGTGGAACCAACAGGAAAGGTTCTGACACCTGCACATTTTGTTAGGTCGAGGCTTCTAAATATGAGGAATAAATATGCCCTCGAAGTGTGTGGCGCAGTGGTTCGAAGTGCTTTGCAGTATATGCGTGCTCTTTAGTTCGACTCCGTGTCGCCGGTTCATCACGCCTTCCATTCTTCCGTGGTTGAGAAACTGGTTCCAGAGTTTTCTAGGATTGTAATAGCACTGATATACCTGTAGGCCATCGAAAATCATTGTATAGGATAGATATGCATTCAGTTACCTCTAACGATGATAATTTCGAACGGGCGGTGCGTCTCCTAGAGATTGATCAATGCCAAACGCTTTATCCGTTTCCTTATATGATATCATTTATCATACTGATTATCGGTATTATGGCAATGATTATTATTCTTCACAAAAAAGCGTAGTTTCTGGCGTGGGATTCCTCTAGTGTTCTCAGGAAATATTACTTTTCTTCTTAATCTCAATAAGCACCTACAGGATCAATTTTGCTTATTCCAGCTTTTGACTGAGAAACCAATCGGATGTATCATGGTTAGCATGGTTATTAGGGTTAAAAAAGTTTCAAATTACTGTTAACCGCTGTCTTTTTCACAATTATCTGGTAAACAAGAAAACCACATCCATTTTTATCTCTCTACTCCAATAGTATTCTACATGATTTCTGTGCAGCAAAAAAGAGAAGTCTTGAAATGAAGGCTCGACAACAGAATTAAGCCCTTAAGCTATCACCGAATCTTCGCATCCAGTAATGGCAGCTGTTTTTTAACCGCTACAAGTAGAAGTTTATCAAAGATTTCAACGGATCTACCTTTTCGGCATCCTTTCCTTTTAAGAGCTTAAATGGTTGAATAATATTAAATGACATCTTCACCAGAGACCATTTCATTTCTCAGAATTCATCAATGATATGGCACTACGTTTCGCAGATAAGAATTTAACGCTCAGTAAAGAAGCGTTTGTGTTAGTAACAGATCTAATCCATTCACCCGACTTTTGTGGTTGTGCTGCTAGGTCAGGTAACATTACCAAATACTAAGCTTAAGACATGGAAGATTAAACCTTCGGCTTTGATCAATTCGCCAGTGATGCACCCTGCATTCAACTCCATTCGTAACATCATAGGGATGGTCGAATGCATATTTGGTCTATACAGTGACTTCCGAGATCGTCTCAAGTCAGCAGTCCTACGCTTCCAGACAACTCTGGTTCCAATTTTCCGATCGGAAGAATGGACGACTTGGTGAAGTCAGGAGAAATGGCTCGAACCGACGAACACGAACTTCTCACTACGTTACTTTTTCAGCGTAGGACTACTCCATTTTATTCCTTTTCCACCCATTAACTTAAGCGTTAGATTAGAGCTTAATTGTCATACTAATGTTCACTGGCCCTATTTATTATTCATGTCATGTCGGTTAATGTATGAATTCCTATCTTTCTGGGATGTAGTTTTTCGGCCTTTTGTGCTTCGCAAGGTGCAAAAAAGCCCAAAAATTACCTTAGTAGGGCTCGTAGAAGGTTTTTTTGGGTCAGCATTTAGAACAGAAGAGACGTCCACGGCGGATGCTAGAGCGTCTAGGTATTTGCTTATTGTAGAGGTTATCGTTCCCAGTTCGAATACATTTTCCTTCGTTGTCTATTGATTTTGTTGGTATTCTAATACTAATGCGTCGTTTTCTTGTGCATGTGCTTCTTTAGAGCCGCTTTTTTCGTGACTTGCAATGACGAAGATTAGAACAGCTGATTGTAGTTGTATATGGGTGATGACTCGTCATCAACCATATTCTAGTATGATTTTCAGGATTTCTTTGTACAGCTTTCCTGAAACTTCATATTCATAAACTTGAATAACGTTCTTAGTGGGAGGTGCCAACAAAATAGGGGGCCGTTCGGTCGCCATGTGCGATCCATCACTGGCTGCTGGGGGGCTCCATCGATCCAGGCCACCCGAGACATCACGGCTCTCGACGGCTTCAAAACCAGTACTCTAAGGTTGTCTTTTCTCCTATAGTAGTATTTTCGCTCTCACCGTTGAGAATGTATAAATCTTCTTAACATGTTTGAGGTTGTAATTGTTGTGAAGTCGATTAAATAACAATAGTTCGATGTTACGAATTTGTACAACCGAAGTCTGAAATGCTTCTGTAAAGTGTTTTCTCTGCATCTTTCTTTGTTTCCATACTGCAGATCTCAACAGTATCAATGTTGGTCTACAGCAATGGTAGCCATGAAATCCTATCTGATAGAGGTCCAAGGTTTTCCAGACTTGTTCCTGCCCCCGAAATGTGATTCCCATAGGGACTTTTATGATGAAAATGAACACTGAAATGTATGGTTTGCATGCGTTATGAATATATAGCACACGTTCCAGAAAACATATAGAGAATTGCGGTATCGTTAAAACAGTTTAGCGATTCCCTATGTGTCCAATTAGGAATTGTCCGGAAGCCCACTCTCTTTCTCATCGTTCTCCATATTGCGACTGTCCCTGGTCTTCATTTTCTCTGTGTTCCTATTCTGTACGTCGTTTTCCTTCGTACGACAATCGTGTTTTGCTTTTTTCAAGATCATTCGATCCCAGCCGACTAAGCAAATGTTCGAAAATAGCCACTACGATCGTTCCATAGCACTGTAAGGACTTGACATTGTTAGATTTTTCGGAAATTAATGTCGGATTTGTAGTTTCATTTTTATCATAGATGTCATAAGAGTATCTTTCGAATGTTATACGAATATATATCAATGCAAAGCTTATTTTGGGCGCTTTCGCTCCGTTTAGTGGAGTTATAGTATGTTTTAAACGTTAGGAGTATCATATTTCAAGACAGCAGTTTCGAGGGATCTATTTCTACGAATTCATACTCGAATGGCGTAAAAGGCTCGAAACCTTGGTGGGGTATGGGACCAAAGAAGCATTAACGAACGTACGGTGGCAACGTTGGCTGGGAAAATTTTATCATGGCGAATTCGACGTTAAACATGAGAAAGTTCGCGGTTGTCGTTCTGCTATTGACGACGATGAAATGAAGGCATTAGCAGAGTGAAATGCGTGCACAGCGCTTCCAGAAAATGCAGAAGAACTTGGTCTGAGCACCCTAACTGTTTCGGAGAATCTAGAGAAAATTGGAAAGCCGAAGAAGCTTGACGAATGAATGCCGCACCAATTGAATGGCAATGAAAGAAATCGTCGCTTTGAGTTATAGTCGGCGGTGGTGGTTCTTCTTCGCAAACATGACGACTCGATTCTGGATCGTATTGTGACGTGCGATGTGAACTAGGTCCTCTAAGACAACTAGCAACGATAGGCTCAGTGGTTGGACCACGACTGCGCTTCGCAGATGTTCCCAGAGCCGAAATTGAACCATAGGAGGGGCATGTCGACCGTTTGCTTGTCAACAACTTGTTTGAGGTACTGCAGCTAGCTGAATCTGATTGAAACGGTTACGACGGAGAATTACGTTCAGCAAATCGACGGAGTGCCCCAAATACTTTAGCGGCTGTGTCAACATTGGTGATTAAAAAGGGACGAATTTTTATGCGCGATAACAAGAGACCACTACCGTCGCGCTAATACCGCCGCCGAAGTTAAACGAGCTATGCTACGAAGCTCTGCCTCATCCGCCATACTCGCGAGACCTCTCGCTTACTTACTACTACTTCTTCAAGTATTTGGATAACTTCCTGTACGATAAATACCTGAGAAACCACTCCGATGCCGAAACTGATTTCAGCGATTTCTTTCCCCTCCGAAAATCCACATTTTCAAGAAACTGGTACAAATAAACTTGTTTTTCGTTGGCAGAAACGTGCGTATTCCAACGATTTTTACTTCGATTATAAAGTTAATAATAAGCTGAGATATGCCACTTCGAAAACAAAGCTTGGAATCCGACAATGATTCCCGAAAGACGTAGTATTTCGCAGACTAGTATTGTGGTTTTGCTCTTTCACTTCAGTAATTTTTACTTGTGATTCGTGACTCACCTGTCACCCATGTTCCCTATAACCCTGTTAGCACATTCTTAACATCGGCGAATTTTTGCTAGTTTAATCATGGGATGGGATTTAGTTTTTCGCAAACTGCGAAGTGCATTGAAATCGATGCTCATTGCCCACTGTGCACACTCCCAGAAAAGGGACATTGAAGTGCGCTCAATGTTCACAGCGCCAGTTTCCATGTCGCTACTGCGTTTCTACAAAGAATGGGTAATCTCAGCGGGACTAACAGAACAATATTTCTGAAGCACAGTCATGTTAATAGCCCTCATATATGTGTTACTCTGACCAGCTGAAACGCCTTTGTGCTCTCCTCAACAGCAACAGTTCCAGTGGCAGAGCGCATAAATTGGCTCGAAAAGCGGTTTAGAGATTATCATTCGTAGAAAATGGTTTTTTTGGCAAACAATCAGCACAATTTATGATGGGGAAGGTATCGATGAAATACAAAACTGTGACAAAAGAACGTTGTGGACCAAAAAAAAACCCTGGAAATGAAACGCACTCATACCACTGTGCGCAGTTGAGTGTTAACCATCGAGTAACTGTGTCAACTCCATTCATTACACTTCTATCCACCGCGCACCAAAACTTCTGTAGACCCCTCGCTAAGACACGAAAGGTTTCACTTTTCTGATACGATGCCACTTTTAATACTGTTTCCGACAAAAATATATACACGGGTAATTTGCTGAGTTCCGCCATGAGATTGGGTTGCTCCTCGGTCAGGTTTCGGTTGTGAATGTCGAACCTACTCTCGACTGAGGCGACCTGGCTGAAATTAAAGAATCCACACTACATCTCAACTCGAGCTTCACCAACACCCCATAACCACACTGCGAAAAACCATTGCGAGTTCTGATTCACCATGAAGGATAAAAGGATAAAGCTCCCGGCTTTGATCAATCTCTGAAGGATGCGCCATGCATTCGGCTTCATTAATCGTTTGGAGGTGATTAAATGCTTATTTGGTCTTTACAATGACTCGCGGTGGCCCACCAATGTATCGAGCCAGTGGTGCTATCCTCCCAGACAAGTCTGGTAGCAATTAGCCGACCCTGGAGGGATGGAAGTCTTGGTGAGCTATGGACGCGGCGATCAATTCCACGTGTGCGTCGTAGTGGCTCCTCCAGTCGCTGTTTGAGCATAGTTGTAAATATCCTTTAATAAATAATGAACGGTTTGTGTTACATTCTGACAAATGTTGTCGACAGTAACGTTTTCCCGTACTTTCGTGGCCTATGGGACGTACCATTCCTCAGTTTTTGTTCCACTGAGGTTCCTGTTTCAAAGAGTAAAGCAACTGAAGAAGCGGGTTTTTTTCAGGGCGACATCACTGTGTACCACACTGTATCCTTGGTGGTCGCTGATGCCACAGTTGCGTTGGAAATTTCGAGAATTTAAATTTCGTTTTCGGCGTCTTGGAAAATCCAATTTTAAACAAATGCTCTGTGGAAATTTTACGTAGGCTTAGGGCAATAAAGCAAAGTCTATTCTATAACACTATTAAGTTGTCAGCTCTTAAACTAATCTAGCGATTAAGAATTCAACAGCTGTTGGGAAACCAGCTTCGTCCCGAGTGTGTTAAACTTGATGAGAGTAGGCATCCCGTATAATCTACGTTTTGATAACCTCACTGTATTACCATTTTTTCCAAGTTGTGGCTACATTTTCCAAGCAGCTTCTTTTGTCAGCTCTTTTTCCCAGATGTCAAATCGCATATTGTTCTCATTTTAATAGCATCTTTTCATACCGTTACGTCTTCTTCCAGATTACTGCTTTACTGAGGAACTGAAAATGGCGGGATTTTTGATGAAACAAATGGTGGGCAACCAACTAAACGAGGTCACCGGTGGACTTGGTCTAGGTGGTGGGGACGACAATGCCGAAAAGACTGTCGAAGGAGAGGATCCAGAGGTAAACGCACATGTAGACCTTCGAATAAAGTGCGCTTAATGTTCACGTTAATAAATTCGTGACCCAAAATCGCTGTTTGTGAATTTATTGTGGGAAGTAGTGATATTAAATGGGATGGATACTGTAATAAATATGTTAACTCTCGGAATATGAAGGCATTGGCGTGGTGAATGACGTAAACTGAAGAATGATATCCACTTAATCTTTAAGCTTAGAAAAATTCAAAACCATGACTTGAATTTATTTCATTGTGACAGTGGGCGCTTCAATCCCAATTTAAAGGAAAAATTGATTAAAGGAGGAAGATAAAGCATGCAGTGCTGTCCAACCTCTGAGCGTGCGCCATCCATTCGACTCCATTAAGCATCATGAAGATGATGGAATGCATGACGGTGATGTGACGTACTTTGGCTTACCGATGTATGCTTTCTTCTCCCAGACAAGCTTCGTACCAAGTTGTTGGCGAATCGATGGACCGCCTGGACTGTCCCTGGTAATGAGCGGAACCCATTATCCTCTGTATATTGTGGAACATCACTAAGTACCTTGCAGTGCGCGCTCACTTAGGAAGTATCACATGTATGTGTTTAGTCCAAAAGGCCTGAAAATCATCGTGAGGATAATGCACTGTTTTCTTGGCAAGCAAACACAGGGGGGTGTCAACAGCAAGATTTATTCAATACAGGGCTGGCTGACGTTTCGGCATTTTGTCCATCTTCAGAGCCCAGTGGAATCAAATTGACACGCGGTTCATTCAGTCAAACGCTATCATAACCTCAGCAGATAAAACTTAGCACATAAATCACAATATTTTTCAAACCGACCGTAATTTAATCTCGGTAGTAATAATTAATATCTTCTTGGATCATTAAGCTCACACGAGGTTACGCGCTGAAGTTTTAGTTTCCTGAGCTAGAATGATGAGTTCTATTTCAAAATCTTCACCGTTACGTTTGTGGGTCAAATGTGATCCTCGTGGAGTATTTCGTTGAACTTTAGGAGTGCTCCTTTACACGGACATGGTTTACCCACTTCGCTAAAGTATTGCCACTCGCTTTATAAGAGATAAGACCTCTCCCGTTGGGACAAATTATGCAATTGTGAGTTTCGCATAGATAGTGATACAATCAGTTACGAACTAGCTGGCATCCTAGAGTGTTTGATATTTCAGTCACTGTTACCGAATTCTATAGACCACTCCTTCATGGGCAATGTTTTATAGTTCTACTTATGTCGTTCGAAATAAAGAGCCGGATAACTTTTTATTCTCGCTCTAAGTAGCTACCGACCCCCAGCCACTGGAAATGGCTACTTTCCGCGACAGGTTTAAAGATTTCTCCCTATGCTCTCCTCGTGTGCACACGTTGGTGGCTGTTTGAAACATTCTTCACAAGCGCCCTTTTTGTGCGTGAGAGGTGAGAGAAGAGGCAATGAACCAGTATGGTTTTACAACTTGGCTTTAGGTACCACTTGGTGACGTAGCCATTTTCGGATAGGTTAATCTGAATATTCAGAAATGAAGGCCAGTTTTTCGGTTTCTCTTGAGTGAATTTTATATACACTGACCGACCGTTCGTTCAATAACTCAAAACACTTGTTCATCTCCTCTTATGCTAAACCGGTGATAAAACAATTATCTGTGTATTTGTCGTAGAGTGATGGTCGAAAATCGATCACTAGAGCTTCCAACTTAGACATAAAAGCGATGGCAAGGCTTGGCGCCAGTCGTTGTCTCATTGCCAACTCTCTCGTTTGTGCGTAATATTTTCCGGACAATCGGTTGATTTAGCTGTTTAAGCACTCCCTTAGTAGGGCCATGAGTGGCTGAATCGAGAAGCCATAGATGTTTATTGCCCATTCGTGTTCAACAAGAAGTTAGAGAATGGCTTGCATATCGGAGTCATTCGACACATTTATATAAAGAGCGGTAACGTCGAAGGACGCCGTAACGTGCACGGTGTTAGGACGCGCAGTACGCAGACAATCCATAAACATTTGGGTATTCCTGAGATGGGCTGGAACGTGCTTCAACAGCTGTGTGATTGTTAGGTCTCTAAACTAAGCTATTCTATCGGTGGACACGTCTATACAACCGATGGTAGGTGCAACCTTAAAGGTTAGGGGGTCGATGGACGCCATATCACCACCTGTATCACCTGTCGTTACGTTGACTGTCGAGTGACTCGAGGGAGCACCAGTAAGTCTTCTAGTGTTCCCTGTCGCATAAAAGAGTAGAACGGTGGGTTCTGCTCGCACTAGGTGCTCGTTGAGCACCATACCTTTCTTCTAGGTTTTTCTTGAAGAACTCTTACCATCGGGTTGGTGGTCCTCCTGCAGTGCGTTTGACATCTGGAGCTATCCAGTCAATAACGGCTTCTATCCATCTGTTGTTGTTCATGCACATCACGTTTCCGGCCCACCTTATCTTCGAATGTTTGGCGTACAGAATGGCATCTCTTGTTTTTGATCGTTAACACAGGCCGGAGCTTCCGATACCTTCCCTTACTTGTGTGAAACGGGATACTCCCATCATCGTGATTTCGACTGTGCGTTCAATAACGCTGATTGATCTTTCATTCTGCTTACGCAGCGACCAGGTTTCTGATGCATACATTAGGGCAGGAAGTACCGTTGAGTCGAAAAGATGGGCACTGAGCCGGTGTTCTTTGTTGTCTTCACTCCATCCTCGATACTCTTGAAAGCCCTCGAAGCTGCTCGTTTCCTTCTAGTCAACTCTGGTGCTAAGTCGTTCATCATGCTGATTTCCGCACCTAGATAAACGTAACTGGAGCATTGGGCGATATTCATTCCAACGAGCGTGAATTGCATACGTAACCAATCCGTTTTTGATGAACACCTTTCTTGTGAGGTTTAGTCGAATACCAACTTTTCCACTGGCGTTATCCAAGTTAGCAAGCATTCGTTCCGCTTGGCTAATGTTTGCTGATGTAAGAACGATGCCATCAGCAAAGCGAATATGGTTGTGCGAGATCATCAGTGGATGCTAACTTACGAGTTTTGCTAAGTAAGTAATAGACAGGAGATGTTGTTAATTCGCTTTTAAGGTGCAAAATGACTGGTTTTCCAACTGGTTTAAATAAATAGTGGATGGTTTTAAACCTGCGCGCTTGCTACTTCGACCCATTCCATGTTCACTTTTCGGTATTGGCTTTTGAATTCTTTTTCAGTCAATGGGTGATAAATGGAAGCGTCAGAAAGGTGTTTTTCCGTTATCTGAACATCTGATTGACAAGGAATTAGTACAAAGTGTATACCTTTGTCGCTAACTGATAGTTTAACAGGTTTTGATTTTATTAGCTCTCAAACCCATCGCTTGCCACTTTTTGCGTTCCTGCGGGACTGCCCATCAAGAAGACAATGTGCTGTCCATCAATACCGTGGTTAACAGAATGTTGGGCCTGCGAATTTCATTTTCGGATTTGTGTTTAGAATGTTTATTTCGTCGACATGAAGGTATTTCAGCATTTATTCAGAAAATTTCTCATTACTTTATTTGATCCGTCTTCACGTCTACTGTGCGGATCCCAGCACCTCTCGCATCTAATTGGTTTCCTCGCATCCATCGTTCACAAAGGTATTCCAACTTTACGTGTGGCTTCGGTTGCTGCTTGAGGATTTTCCATTTGGAATGTCGTAGAATGCTGGTCGAGCAGTTCTCCCTGGAGTCCTGAGATAACCGGGCTGGAGCGTTCTCAATTGGATTGCAGACAGTGATTTTCTCGCAGACAAGTCCGGTACCAATTTCCCGACCTCGGAGCGATGACAGGCTTGGTTGGCACGAGGTGGAATCCATCTAGCACCATGCTCATGATGACGGACATCACTACCACTATTCTGTCCGCCCCTAAAGGTTTCGGAAGCCAAAAAAAGAGGAATGGATGACTGAAGCTGTGTGAGAATCCTACTCTTTGGCAAGGTGTCTTCATCAGTTTCGACGACTATCTGTCGTGTTTGTCATTGTTTTTCAATTCCCTTTGTGTAGACTTCTTTATTGTATATGTAGGCAAATAAGCTCAGTATGAGAATTTTAACATTACTGGTGTATGAAGGGTGTCTATCGCGTAGGAAAGGCCACAAAATTAAGGTATGCGATAGTCCGGTTCTCTGGTATTGGAGCTAAAGCGCTAACGACAAAGAATCTCCTCTCCAGTATCCTTAAGTTCCATCTCTGTGATTATGTCATTACGCTTGGTATTTATTGTACTATTACAAAATACTTCCTTCATAGTTTACGGCAAGAACAAGTTTCTTCAGCTAGTAAAGTTTCACGTTCCAGATCTGATCACGTGCGCTACACTCATACTATGACAGTCTGAACTAAAACTTGAATTCTTGAATGTTGCATCTCCGGGTCTTCTTCTTGCAGTGCTCAGCTCACGTTTGTTTCGTTCTGTTCCGAATGTCGGTCATGTAGGTGGTCTTTCTTGACGACATCACTTCTTCTTGTGATTCACTATGCTGCCATTCGCCTCGTTTATTTGTCGACAATTTTTCACTATATTTTTTAACACCTGACGCGTGTGATGCACTGGTCGGAGGCTCCCTGCGATACACACATGGGATCGATTCCCGCGTCCTTGGCTCACCAAGCCTTCAATCCCTCCGGGGTCAGCAAATTTGTAACGGACTTATCTGGGAGGATACCAGCAATATTTCGATACATTGGTAGGTCACCGAGAGTTATTATAAATTCCAGATATGCATGCAGTCACCTCCAACGATCCTTCATGAAGTCGAATGCATGATGCATCTTTCAAGGATTGATCAACGCCGAGAACTGTGTCCTCTTCATCCTTTTATTTTTTACACCACATGAAATGACACATTTTGCCCATCTTAGCACGTTTTTTATCGGATTCTCGTCTTTGTAGCCATCATCCACAAAGATGGATGTTCACTAAATGTTTGGACCTCGACCGCCAGTGTTATGCGCAAGCCGGTGTATTTCACAAACCACTATTTAGGCGTATTGTATGTTGTACCTAATGAAACGTGGTTAGTGTATGACGATATCTGAGCTGTATAGTGGAATGCGTGGATTTGAGTGGAGAGTTTGTCTTCTGATTGCTGTGAATACAATTCACTACGACCGTTCATGAGGCTTTTGGTCTTTCGTGCAGTTTTACCTCGATAACGTTTATCACTGAATATTCTAGATAAGCATAAGATGTCCTGTTTACAATCGGAGAAAAATCACTGTGCTTTCCATCTCATGAACGGTTTTTCATGATATAGGTCTTCTACTTTCCGGTTTACCTTCTTACCTGCTTCATTGAGCTCTTCAGACGTCATCTCTTCAATCTCTACAAAGAATGACGACATCTTTGTAAAAATGTACCATCAATGAATCTGCGCGTTTTTTAACTCCAAGGCAGATCTCTATCCCATGAGGATTGTACGGTACGGTAGAAAGTTGGTGCTCCTTACTGGACACTCATGGCCCACTTCTCTGGCGTACTGTATGTGGTTTGGTGATAACCCATGCAACACATTGTCGGAATACTGCTTTCTCGATTAAGCTTCATTCAAAGTCGTTCATATGCACAATAAAACGGTCTTAATAAGGAGTGTCTGAAACGTATTGAACAACTAAATCGCAACACACTTGCCTTTCGATTACCCTTTGTTGACGGGGTAATCCTGAGCAAAAATAGGAAGCCTGGTACCGCTGCCGTAGGTTATGACAAGGCCTTCAGGTTTTCTCTGCGGTGCCAACAGTTTTTAATTTCATAGGTGTGCTTCCTCTGAAGCTTATTTGCTGCTATGTAAAGTGTGACATATTTGTCTGGTAACTGAAATGTCTTCATTACTTCAGCATGGATTTCAGAGGGATAGAGATGCTGTGCGAACTTCCCCTTGTGGGTAGTGGTGGTATTACACTGTTCTCCTGTCATTCTCCTACTACTAACTTCCCGTTCTGGGATTTCCTTTTCCAGAGCAGTTTCTATTCTCACGATGAAACCTTCAATAGCAGAAGTGTAAAACATTTTGACGAGAACCACATTTTTTCACTGATAGTAGAAAGCGTTCGTTACACAAAATTTCTGAACAAACTGACCCGCTTAATTAGACGGTACGGGCAACTGGTCGTTATACGGTGAAAGTTGCAACAGAAAGCGATCGCATAGTAATTGTGACGATCCGATATTAGGTGATTTAATATACCTTCTCTCATTGATGAGCTAGAACAGGCTTGATGAAATAAAGTTTACTCGGCTAACATTTCGACGTCTTCGTCTTCCTGAGAGCCGATGATCCGAGTGGATATCTACAGTCCTTCGTTCTCTCGCTGTCGTGTTTTCATCGTGGACTCGAGTCAGATCTTCTTCAGGGGAACACCTCTTGAATGAAGTAATCCCTCCTGAAGATGCTGTTTTCTACAGCACGGTCATGTTGATATGATTAATTGGTGGTAATAGCTCGTTTTCTTTCGAGCAATCCATCTTCCAGAGGTCGTCAATACCTGTTACCACAAAGCGTAGTAATACTTCAAAAACCGACTTTCCTTTAACCCTGGCATAACAGATCAGTGTACCTCCTTTCATTGATGAGTTAACAGGATGTTGATAAAATGAATTTTATTTAGAAGATACTTTATTTTAGACAATCTGATGTGTTTAGGAATTGGTGTAATCTTAAAAACTTATTTTTTATTTATTTCATACGACTCGTCATCACATTTACCGTCCGGGATCACAGCGTTCGATTTGTTTTCCTCGCATTCATCGTCCGCAAAAGTCTTCGAACATTTCTCCTGTTGTTCCGGCTGCTAGTTGAAGATGGATTTCGTTTTTTTCTTATAAATGTTGTAGAACGCTAGTCGAGTGTAATCTTCTTGCAGTCTTGAAGATAGCCAGGCTAAGGCGTTCCCACGTGAACTGGAGGAAAGCGTTGGTGCGGGAATGGCACGTGCGTCCTTGCTTCTTTATTGACGGCACCACTAACCATTGCGCTCTCTCCGCCCCGTATATTTATGTTATTTTCAACAGTATCGCTGTTTTTAGTAGTTTCATTGATTTACTCCAAGATCCGAATGATCACTGCAGGTTGTAGCAGCACGGTTGGAGGAGCAGGAACGACGTAAAGAAAAGCACAGGAAGATGGAGGCAGAGAGGGAGAAGATGCGTCAAGGAATTCGTGACAAATACAAGATCCACAAGAAGGAGGAGGGTACTGGTGCTGCGATGAATTTCGCTGATGGTCGCATTGGTGTCCCGAGGAAGACCCCCGAGGTTAGGTGATAGTTAACCGTGTCTGTATTGAAGTATAGTCTTATAATTTAACTAATGCAGGAACTGGCGGCGGCCATGAACGCGGATGACAGCAGCCTCATAGGTCAGCTTGGCCTCACCGAGCACGTGGAACGTGCGAAGACCATGGCCACCGGAGCCTTTGAAACCGTGAAGGGTTTCCTTCCATTTGGGAAATGAGTGACAACGAGAACGTGGAAGACCTGTCGTGTTCTTCCAACCGCTGGCACCTTACGTAGTCTCGTTTACAAATATCCCTGATCTTCACCACCACTTAAATCCACCTGATCGTTCTTATATGTTACTTATTGTCAATTTACAACCTAGTGCCAGTTCATACCCTCTTTAACCTCGTACTTGAGAACATAAGGTGTGCGTCCATATGCGATTCGCATATTCGTATGCAAGTGCGCCCCAATTTCTCAATCTGGAGTCCTTTAATATTTTAAGACTAATCGATAACAGACACGAAGTTACCTGCTGAGACTATTTTCTAGGTCCAATTATTCGTAGTCAAGTGTATTTATACATGTACATGCATCTATATACACAATAGATATATGCATGTGTGTATATGTGTATGTACAGTGTGTGTATCTGCTAAAAATCTCGTTCAATTTGTATTCATTCCTGGTAAATCCGAATTATTCCTTTTTGTCTAGTATTTTTAAGACATACCGATCTCTTTTATCTACATCTGGAATCTTCCCATTCTTTTTCCATTCATTTTGTTTGCGCTATTTTGTTGTAGTTCGTGTTATATGTGTTGGTTCGTGTCGAGAGAAGAGAATTGTAATATTGGTCTTTTATTGGTCATAGCAATAAATTAGTTGTAGGTATCGGTCTATAATGACTGGAGAGAAAACAGCAGTACCTACGGTAAAAGCACAGGCTTCAACGACCGTATTAGATGAAAAATCGAAATTTCAAGTACCCAGTTGGGCTTCACGACCACCACCTGGATCACATCTGGATGTTTGTAAAGGAGATCAGCTTATACAGGTTAGATCTGACGAATTCCGGTGCAGAACTTGCCACTGTACTTCCAGCAACCCGAATGACCAAGAGTCCTATCTTTTAGAAGTTGATGATCGATGAGAAATCAACTTACTACTTTGGTCGAAATCCGAAGCAAGTCGATTTCGCTGTTGAACATGCTTCATGTTCTCGAGTCCATGCTTTACTACTTTATCATGGAGTGTTGAATCGATTCGCACTAGTGGATATGGACAGTAGTTCGTTTTTATCAAGTTTGATTATCGTTGGAGATAATTCTTATATTCTTGATGGGTAAACACGAAATTCCCAAGGCCGATTTTCTGTTAACCTCGGCCGTGATTGATAATTCGATGTTTTTCTTCAATAAGCAGATATGAGGTTATTATAGAATTTATTAGGATACAATAGCTGACGTTTCGTTGGTTTCGCCTTCTTCAGAGCCGTTCTATAATAACAACTTCGTGTCTACTTATTGAAGAAAAACATCGAATTAAACACGAAATGTTATTTTATTTCTTTATTTACGCACAAGCTGACGTTTCGGCAGATTTTATCCTCCTTAGAGCCTGGAAAGGTCAAGTTGGCCGCAATCTATCCACCAAATGCCTCCATAACCAAACAGAGAAAACGCTAAACTAAGATTTTAGTCACATTAAGCATGGTGTTCTCCACGTGACATATTCGGTAGAAGACCTATAGAAAGCGTTGGTTTTACTAAGAAGTTATTCTGTGTTCAATATGTTTGAAATCTTGGTTTAGCGCTTTTCCTGCTTGGTTTTGGAGGTGTTTGGCTGGGTAGATTGCGGTCAACTTGACCTTTCCAGGGGAGGCGAAATGCGCCGAAACGTCAGATACTGTTGTGTTGTATGTGTGTTTTATACGGAAGTAGACGTCTGCTGTAGAACAACCTCGCCACTGCTGAAAAAGAAATGGACATATTTGTCCTTGCAGAGTTGTGGGAACATTTCTTGTTCTATGGGAGGATATACTATTGGTGTTTTGACATTTCGTTAGTTTAAGGCCACGGTACCTATTTGGGGACAATTCGACTCGAGCCGTTGAGGGTGGTCTTCGTTGATATAGGAACGCCTTTTCATTTTGGAGCGTCAACAAGGAGGTTATTTGGTACTTTATTGTAAAGGAGATTGTTTTAAGAATGTTGACTTTCTATTTACTGCCTATTATGATTCTTCATGGTACGGTATTACGTGTAAAACAACCACAGTGGTGCTGAGTTATTTGCAAAACTCCGGACCACAGGTGTCTGCGGTGGGGAACGAACACTCTGCTACCCCGCGCTGTTAACGCGCTGTTACCCTTTTCGGGAGTTAACGTGTTCACCACCACGCCATGCATGTCCTTTCTTTCTCCTGTCTCTCAGCTAGTTCTATCTATCACTGATATCAGCAATCACATGACAGCGGGATTGATCTGAGGAGCCCAAATCGGCAACAAACCCAGTTAAACTGAGGCAGTAGTTATAATCGTAACTGAGGGACAGGCGAAACGAAGGGCCCGCATGGTGTGGTGGTGAGCGCGTTTCTCCCCTGAAAGAACAATAGCGCGTTCGTTCCTCACCGCAGACACCTGTGGTGCGGAGTTTTGCAAATATCTCAGCACCATTATGGTTGTTATGAGAACGTCGAAATGAGTTATACAACGGTTAACACGGTTTGTGATTATGTTATGTCGCATGTGTGGTCTTAAATGCAACTATAAAAGTAACTTTACTTTAAAGAAGCAACAGATTCGTACGATTTATCATCTATTCGAGTTGTTTCAATGTCTGCTTTTGTACCAGAGCATCCGACTGGCCAAATACTGAATAACCCACGACTTGGTTTCGTTTCCTTGCTGAAATTCGTATGCTAGATTTATTTACTTCAAGGTATTTCACGCTAAGCGATGTATGCATCCCTTTGTTGGAGGAACTTTGTTCATCCATATGAATTGTAGGATTTCTGTGCTAAAAATAAGTTCAGACCATTTCTGTAGTCAAAGAACTGGTGTTAAAATTTCAGAAGACAGATGATTACATGGTTACCAAAAGTGCCCATGATTTGGTGAATGATGGTTAATGAAGCAGTACATCCTAACAAACTCCTAGATTTTTCTTCGTCACTAAAATCACGCAAAGTGAAATCTTGTGATTATGCGGAACTCATACTTTAGGCTTTGCTGCTTTTCCCAAACTTTTAGCCTCCTAGGAATGGTTGATTCGTTAACATCAAGTAATTCCGTGGTGTCGAAATCGCTGTCGGTGTTTGACGGCGGTGAAGAGTCGTCAATATTAAATAAGAATTAAGAGCTACCAAGTCTTCGAACGATATATGGTCATAATCCTTTAGCGTCGTTAATCACCTGAATTATAGGCGTTCAACGTTTCTGTAGAGGTAGGTGCAATCGGGTGAATCTATCACGCATGCGTTGCTTATTTATGAAGCGATATTACATCTTGGAATTAAACTTGTATCGTGCGGTTGTTTTGCACTGCTCATCTTGGTCACTAAACTGGTCATTAGCAAATGAATATGCCTAATACATTGCTTATTATGTCTAGCATTTCACAAGTTTTGTAAGCACTGGCTTTCCACTATAACGTGTCGCAATTTTATTTGATTTGAAGTTTTCATTGTTTAAAAATTCTATCTGCTTCCAATTCTTTAACTTTAATCCAAGGCGATACTTCAGCATCGGGATTTCCACTCGTTATCGGTTGTGCAAATCGCAGTACACTATTCATACGTCTCATTTCTACGCTTAGAGGGAAAATTATCTAAAAGTTATATCTCGATCATACCAGTTCAAATGTGATTGGCGTCTAATGTATCATTTGCTGGTCCACACGGGATTGCTCTGGAACATTCTTGGAATTTTCTTCGGATCATCAATACAGTTTCTTGCTTCTAAATGTTATTCTACATAGCAGATAATGGACGCCATAGAGTATCATTTTATGCAAGAATTAGTGGTACATAGACCTGATTCATAACGGAATTGACAGATTGTTGGATGAAGTACCTAACAGAGTGGTATTTCATGGATCTTTTCACACGATAGATCGTGTTTCACATAACTTCGAAGCCCTGTGATTTATCTGAGGGATGCAAAGTACCATTTTATCTCACCGTATCATGCGTGACACGTACACCAGAATGAGTGTCCACCCGATCGTCACCAATACTACAAGTAGGAGAACTGCCGAGGTAGCTGGCCTGCCTTCTATATGGCAAATTTTGCGAGAGTGCTAGGATCTCGACCCAAAAGATAGGTGGAAGTCCATCCTAAAGCTTTCTTGCATCTTGGTTCTTCACATCACATGGCTGGTCATCATTGCTTCGTTTTTTACCTGCATTCGCGGTCACAAACAGGGATTATGCCTTAGGCTAACTTCCACAAATTGCCACCTTCCGATAAGGTTTTAAAAAAATTCCACTGTATTCCTCATTAGCCAGTGCTCAGTGTTCTTAGTATGGTTAGGTTATTGGCATTCATCTTTATTGTGTAGCAAAGCCTCAGCGCATATATGTCTGTTTATCGGTGGGTTTTTTGAAATACTAGAAGAGAAGATGGCCGGTGTTGCTGCCAGTCTCCAATGAAGTAAGTACCTTATTGCCATCCTTCATTGAATAATGAGTTTCTCTTGGAATCCTGTTTCCCATCTACACACGATTCCCATGCTTGTTTTGCTCTTTGTATAATCTGTATGATTGCATCTTGCTATAATTTTGCAACCTTACTAGTGTACATTATTTGTGTTTACATCTGAAAGTATTGGTTTTATAATTTATCGCATTGCACTGAGAAATGCATCGTCTTATTAAACCCCTCTGATGGTGAGGGAAATGTAAAAACTGTGTTTTCTTGGTTGGTGTATCAGTAGTAGAGAAACCTATCGGTTATGCGTCCTCTCCTCGGTTGTGGACGGCGGAGAGGATGGTATCCAAGACACTGGAATAGGTTCCAATGACTTTTTCTGCAACATGGTTCTTTACGAATGAGATCTTTGCTCGAGTCTGAACTGTTTGCTTTACTTTTTGGAATTTTTAAAAACAAACTAGGGTAATCTCTATTTCAAGGATGTCTATGTTGAGAGAAGTATGTATACTAGCTTAACCTTTTTATTTACTGCCTATTTTTTTTAACGGCAGGGTATGTTGCGAAATATGACTTCTATAATGCTGAGATAGTTGCAAAACTCCGGACCGCAGGTGTCTGCGGTGAGGAACGAACGCGCTATTGTCCTTTCCGGGGAGTAAGGCGTTCACCACCACACCATGCGGCTCCTTCGTTTCGCTTACCTTCGCCCGAAGCGTCTCCAACCACAGTGCTACACACTCCTCGACGTGGACTAAAATAAACCATCAGAAAGAGAATGACCCATATAGAGCACGTATCGAGCATTTGAGGAGCTGCGTATGATTGTATTAAATACACACTGTTCATTATCTGTTAGTAGACGATTTGCGTCCAGTTATGAAGTTGTGGAAATAGATTCGTCGGAATTTTTGTTTTGACATCTGAAAGTTTAACCTTGTGAACTTGTCGGAAATTCAGCATATGTTATAGTTCAGTTTTGTAGATTGCAAGCACATGAACTAAGGCTGAGAGAAGGGTTAAACGAAGGGCTTACATGGTGTGGTGGTGAACGCGTTAACACTCGGAAAGGGCAATAACGTGTTCGATCCCCCCCTCCCCCCGACACCTGCGGTCCAGAATTTTGCAAATATGTCAGTATCACTGTGGACATAAAATAAGCTCTGTATTGATATATAGTAGTACAGCGTTCGGAAAAAGATATTACTGCTATTACCATATCTAAGGAAAATCCATAAGTTGTCATTAATTTGCGGATTTTTATAAGCTTTAGAACTAATTGTTTCTCTTTGCTGGTCAGTGGGTGTATTATTTCAGAACTGTGAACAACGCGTTAAATGTGGCTATCACGTTGTCTTTGTATGTACACGTTAGAATCTTCGTAGATACATGTTGAAGTAACTAAGTTAGCAGGAGTTATCATTGATTGTACAGAATTTAAATCATAGATCTGAGATAACCACGTGTTAGCTTATCAGTGAAAATACATCTTGGATTTGAAACAAATTTTCGTGATTTCGTAATGTTTATTCGGGCTCTGTTATGGCAATTTTTCGAAACCGCTTCGTATTCTATTCTCTGTTTTCGCCCTACTTAACAAGAGGATCTACTAAACTAAAATTAGCTGAGAAACAGGTAAAACGAAGGATCCGCATGGTGTGATGGTGAACGCGTTAGCTCTCGGAAGGATAATTGTGCTTTCATTCTCTATGGCAGACACCTGCGAGCCTGAGTTTTGCAAATATCGCAGCATCATTATAGCAAAGGATCATTTAGTGTTATCAGAAGCTATATGTGTATCCTTACACTGAGCTCATTCCTTTGTGCTGCTTCGTCGTTTAGAAAGTAGTGTGTAAGCAAGGTAGCTTCAATATAAGGTTATTGAACTTTATTGAAACTATCTGAAAACCAGATTATTGAAAACCCAGTATATAGTATATTTCGGGAAAGTTCTCGCTTAAAATTGAAGCAAGGAAGACTTGAAGCTAAATCACTCCGTATGTTCAGGTATACACTACGGTTAAAATTAATGCAATCGAAGGAGAATGAAGACGAGGAGAAAGAGAAGATGCCTAGTGAGCAAGAATTAGAGGTTTGATTTATGTTTCTTGCAAAGGAAATATTTTCCGTCAATATGGGCATGTTTTACATTGTTGTTATTAATCTAATATACTTGGATACTTCAATGGCCCGTCCTCACTGAATGTGCTGGCCGCTGCATAATTTCCACTTCTTTTCGGAGTTTTACTGGTTTAATCATTGTGGTTCCCTGGAGTCCTTAGGTCAGCCTAGCGAAAGTCTGCCCCAGGACGTCACCATCACAGAAAGTCGCGGCCCTTATGGATCAAAGGGAGATTTGCTACCATGCGACTAGTTTGATACCAGGACGGTGGTGGGTCGTGGCATTGGTTTACCCTTAACTGGGCTTCCTGAACGAAACCCTCACAACTTGGGAAGCCCTGTTGGGGGTCGAATCCCCCGCTGCACATCACAGCCGACATCCAGGAACACCTTCCAGCCACGATGAAGTAAACCGTTTGGAGGATTCGTGTGGTATAGTGAAGGGTTTTATAGATTAAATTACTAGATCATAGTCTGGAAAATTTGAGAACTTCTGGTACAGTTTATCACTAAAATGACTTTGGAAAGAATGTGGTAGAGCATTTTTACTAACTATTACATATTGATGGTTTTGGTCCTTTTTAACGGGGAACTGGTCAACTGCAAATCGTTATCTAGGGTTTATTAGCGAGAAATTTGGATAGTGCTAGCAACAGTTTGTTCCGTTCACTCTGTGACACTTGGGGAAATGTTTCTGTTTAACTAACCAGGTTGTCTTAGAAGTGATAGATGTGCAATCTAACGATTTCGTTGCAAGCTACACGTGTTGAAGTTAATATGCGTATCACCACTATTTCTTCGGTTTAGAATGTGACCGAGTACAATACAGCTCTGAATCGACGTATTCCACAACTTCCAATATCAGCCGAAGAAGCGCGCCGAAAAAAGCGTCCGCGCGGTAACGTCGCTTTCATTGAACAAGAGGAGATTATCAATCCGGGTTGGTTTGCGAGTTATTCTAGGGAATGCAATAAATTAAAGCGATTTAAGCGATTACGTCAAAGCCTGTTTGACTGTCAGTGCTTGTTGATGGCACCGTTAGGGTAAAAAAATGGGTGAGAGAAAGGCAAAGCGAAGGTGCAAAGGTGGCCTCAGTGCTGCAGTGACAGATAACACGTGAGTCTCCGGGAAAGGTAATTGCGGGTTTGAATCTGGTCTAGGTTCCAAGTTTTGCAAATGTCTCAGCATTATTGTGGTTGTCAGTGGTTCGCTCCTGACCGCTCTTTGTTAATCAGTAGATGTATTGGTAGGGAAGAGTGAAACACCAACCTCTACATCAACGGATTTCTGAAAGAATGTGAACTTTTCTATCTTTGCAAATTATTTTTTTACCAAGTACTTTGTGCCACCATTGTAATGAAATACAAACACAATGCGAAACTTCTTTTTAGAGGATGTTGATCCAACAATTGGTCGCTTCCGAAATCTTGTAGCAACTGCTATTATATCGAATAATCCCGCTAAAAGAGTAGCACCAGAAACGAAAGGACATGAACCACCTCGCAAAGTGGGTTCTTGCTACAAAGAGTTTATATAAGTTTATTTGAGGTCTCCTGTGTTACAGTTAAGTTCTATTGTCCGATGCATTAATTATTATTATGCAGGAGTGTCTTCAATAAATACGGCTTTACTCATATATTCGTAATATAGCGCGATTCAAAGATGCATAGAATAGATGCATGCATTACCAGATCGTGCGACCATTCCGGGACGTTTCCTTATCGTCACCAATGTGTTCGACGCTAGGTGGCATGTCACTAAACGCTGCTCCGGATTTGGAATTGTATAGTAAAACATTACCAGAACCAGGAATGCATAATAGTGAGTTTGATCATGTCTTGTCATTTGATTTTGTATAAACTGGTTCTTTATTTCTTTATTTGTTATTTACAAACTTATTTGAAAAAATAGCTTATTGTTATTATTGGGAACTAAACTTTCTCGTCTCCTCAGTCTAGCTCCTTTATAGTATTGCTTTATCGTAAGCTTTTCCCATTGAAGAACTTCGATGACAGTCTACAGTGCGCTAAGCAGTCTTGTATTTCTGTATTTCTATATTTCCTTTTTTTGGCAAATTTGAGCTATTCATGAAACCATATGTGAGTAGCTATGAAAATTTGGTTGAGAAGATCATCAAAAACACCAGACAAACACAGCATGACTGTGGCTTGCGAAGAATGTTGCTTCTTATTTTGCCAATATAACATGAGAACGACAATCTATGCCTCCATAGTTTTTTTGCGGGTTCTCTTTATAGTTTTTTTATTCGCTGTTAAACAAAAATTTACATAGGCCGTGAGAGAGAATGTTTTATCGCAACCGTCATGTTGTACTGTGGTGGAGTGCCGTCAATATGTTCAGCTGTTTCAAGCTCTCCTTTTTGATCTACGTGATGAACGTCAGTTGAGCCGGTTTTCATACCGAGCCAGTGTTGACGCGCTAATGTTTCCGTGTGTTAGCCACAGTCATTCTTCCCAACTGGAAGCAGTTTGATTGGCTGCAGCGATTCCTGCAATTTGTCAGTGTAGCGAAAGAAGACAATTAAGCAGGACGGCTCATTTTTAATAACAAGCGAAGCTAATCGTATACGAAAGGTTAGCTCCTCCAGTTAGAATTTCACGTGACATTTCGGACGTTGTAGGTATTTTCCTAGAAATCTATCATTAGAGAAGATGCATAAGTTGTTTTAGTAGTTTCCCTTTTCGAAGTCTGACATGCTCCTTTCGAAGTCTGGCATGCTATATTTTTGGTGAGAAACCGTATAACAGTTGATGTGGATAGAAGGAGACCTAAATTTCTGATGAACGTATTACTATTTCTCGCCGTCACACTTACTGATGGTCTTACTTGACTTTAGGGAAAGTTCATAATCAAAGTAGAAGACAAGCATAACCTTGTTGTTTCATAAAAACGTGACCCTTGCGAAATTGATAACTGTCGTCGTCTCTGCCAACTTTTGTTGTCTGCGAACTTGTCATCCGAGGTCTTCTCGATAGGAGTCACAGAAAATGACGTAGAGCAGCTACGCAGGCAAGCAGGATTCGAAAAGTATTCATTCAGATCGAGGTTTATGGACTTCGATAGTTAATCGAAACAGCTTGGGTAGAAGCTTTGGACAATGTCTATGCTGTAGTACACGAATATAAAGAGAAAGATTAGAGAAGACTATGTTATCTCTCCAAAAATATTTGTAAAAATTCTCGAAAACGAATGCGATAACTGGAGTGAGACCTCATGGGAGTGAGAAACGATAGTAAGTAAGTTCAACATCTTCACCTTGCTGGTAATATCATGTTGTAATGTCAGTCATTAGGCCAGCGTAACAGATACCGGAGACTTCATCTTCCTACTGGACTATGATTCTGGTCACGTTAAGTTACACATCGGAATCCTGGACGCTACGCAACAAAAAAAGAACACTAAGTGCTGTCGCACGTGCAATCGACAGCTTGATGCCAGAAATACTTGATATCACGTAAGTGAGAGAGGCAGACTTCGAAGTTACGACCTGTATCAACGATCAACGATCGGAGACACCAAAATATCGAAAATCAGGTGGTGCGAGCAAGTGATGCGTTTCAATGGGAGTCGCTGGACAGAAACCGTTAGTGGTTTGTCTTACGGACATCAAGCGTCCAGCAAGAAGACCACCAACCTGAGTTTGGAATTCTTCATCAATATCCTAGAAATTGGAAATGCGTGTTGCTGAACGAATACCTGGAGCGATTAGAACCTGCTGATCTGCTTTTGGATGTGTAAGGGACAAGCGAATACTCTCTTGGTGTCGATTTATTGACTAACGGCAGTAGCAGAATAGCGGGACGGTGTTATAGGATGGCAGACCTCAAAATTATCTCACTATCGATTATTAAGCTAACACGAGGCTGACAAAAATGAACTGTTCGGCTGACGATTTGACGTCTTGGTCTTTTGCAGAGCCCTGTCGTTGTCGCATCGAGTCGAATCTAGTCAACTCGATTACCGATTGAATGAAAAATCTCACTCGACGGTGTTTTCTTACACAGAATGGATGGATGTTGGTCGATTACATCCACCCAATATGATCTGCACTTTCAGCCGCAGTGCATCCTGCAGCACTCCGTGTTTCACTACCTGGTATGCAGCGTGACAACATATTGTCTCATCTCACTACCTATCTCATTTTTTTAAATTTTATTTTTATTTGACACATTGCATTTATTATGCGGATCTCAGCACTTCTTGCATTTGATTCGTCTCAAATCCATCATCCACGAAAATCTTCCAACATTTCGTGTCTTTCCTCGGTTATTGATTAAGAAATTTCGTCTTCTATGTAAATGTCGTTGAATGCCGATCGAGGTGATTTTCCATGTACTCTTGGGAGATCCGAGCCCAGCAGTCTACGCGTGGATTGAAATGGGTGAGCTTGTCCCAGACATGTCAAGCACTAATTTACCGATCCCGGACGGATAAGAGGCGCAGTGATCTTGGGGCTGTGTCAAATGATCTTGGGGCTGTGTCAAATTAGCACCGTGCTCCTGAAGAACGGCGTTAGAACGGCATCACTGCGCTAGCCGTTCCTTGTAGTCCTGTGGTTTCCCAAAAAAACCGCCCAAGATGGTATACGTTTTAGAGAGGGTGAAATAGTGTATTTTTGCATAAACCAGCTTCGATAATTGTAGAATTCACTTGATATTTCATCTTCGTTATTTGTGAATTTTTTCTAAGAGATTTCTGTTATCTTTAAGTGTTCCCACTTGGAAGTTTTTCAGTACATCCGCATGTGGTTACAATGGATAGTGATGAACCGCATAAGAAGAAATACGCAAAGGAGTCATGGCCTGGTAGAAAACCAACTTCTGGGGTTTTGTAGATCTTTTTTCATTTCTTAAGTGTTGTAGCTTATCTATACATACTAAGATTCATCTTTTATTCTATTTCGGCCGTATTATTTCTGAACAAGTAAAGTTATTTCCTGTTCAGTGAGAGCCATGGCGTTAGTTTCATGCTTTGTTTTCGCATGGACCCTGCTAAGTATGGTCGATGTATGTTCAACTTGTTACTGTTTTTGTTACTACCGTTTTGTAACTAACGACACTTGTACTGATTACTGATGTTCTTTCATATAATTGTTTGTAAGGATCTGAAGGTGACGGATTTGAGAACTAATCGTCAAGACAATACATGTACCTAATTTATGAATAAATTCAAATTTTTGTGAGATACGTGCTAACAGTTCTACTTTGGTGATGCCTTGGCTGTGCGTACTGTTTTATTGATTTATGAGTAGCGATATGTGGTATGATGATGCTACTTTATAAGCCTTCAAACATAAAGTTACAAATAAAGAAATTAGGACGTAATGGACGATGGCGATGAGTCCACGGAGATGACGCCCGATGAAGCGTTGCAATTAATCAGAGGTGAAGTATTCTTTACTGCGATTACTATTCGTCCGTCCGGGTTATTTTGGGTGGTCCATAACCTAAAAGTTACGGAATGCGGTGTGACTATTAGGGTTTTGAAGAAGACTGATCGATTGTTAAGAGTCTAAGCGGATCGTTTTAACAATGATAACGCATTATGGTGTACATCAGGTAAGAAACGCGAATGGAAGCTGTCAGACTTTTTTGACCATTAATCATAGGACAGGTCTTACTTATCCAGACACGACGAACCCGGTAGGATGAGAGTCGACTATGGTCGTTGACTTCGTTTTGATTTTTAGCTCCGGAAGCAATCATGGAACCGACTATAGTCGAGTCGTTACGTGTTTATTTGGAGGAGGGATGTGGTTGCACTGACACCGCGATTGATGGACTTGTTTCGGGGTATCGTGCATACGCTCAGGTACCAAACTTTCTTTTGTATCGGCTTTGGTAGAGGCTTTTTCGAAGGAGGTGATAGCAGCTAGTGGGCGACTATTACTGCAGTTATTTGGTCAATGTAAAATTCATAGGTAGCACTTGAAGTGTTATTGTGCTTCTTTATTGATTTTGCTTGTAAAACCAGCAGTTATGGATAACTTCAATAACTGTTGTCTCTTTATTTTTTAATGTAACTAGGTCCAAAGGAGCGGATAGCACAGTGTGGTGGTGGCAACCATCGCGACCATGGTGCTGGTTCGACGCCGCTTTGTCTAGGAAAAGTTCATTCTCTGCAGTCTATGTGGGAACGCTCTATCCCGGCTATCCCAGGACTACAGTCTACTGTGCGAATCCTCGCACTTCTCACATTCGATTCGTTTCCTCGTATCAATCATCGTGTAAGGTGATCTAAGTTTTGCGTATGTGTTCGGCTGCTGCTTGAGGATTTTCATTTTATCGTGAATGATGGTCGAATCGATTCCCACTGAAGTCCTAAGATAGCCGGACTACAGCGTTTTCAGTTAGATTGCAGAGAGTGATTCCTTCCCGGACAAATCCGGTATTAATTTCCCGACCTCGGAGGAGTGAGAGGCCTGATTAGCCAGAGGCGGGATCGAACTAGCACCGTGGTCGTCCCTCCAAAAGTATCTTTAGTGGGGAACGAACGCGCTATTATCCTTTCCGGAGAGTAACGCGTTCACCACCACACCATGCGGGTCCTTTGTTTCGCACGTCTCTCAGCTATTTCTATCGATCTTTTTGCCACAGCAATCACCCGTCAGCGGGGTTGATCTGGGGAGCGCAAATCGGCATAGAACCCAGTTAAGCTATGGCTGTAGTTGAAATCACAATGTTTAACGTTTTTAACAAAGGACTCGCATGGTGTGGTGGTGAACGCGTTACTCCCCGGAAAGGACAATAGCGCGTTCGTTCCCCACCATAGACACCTGCGGTTCAGAGTTTTGCAAATATCTCAGCAACGTTGTGGTTGTATTTCGATTAGTAACCTGCCATGAAAATTATAGAAGGCAAAAAACAAAACGTTAAACACAGTATCTTTAGTGTTTCTCATTGTTTTTCCACTTTTTGTTTTCGATTTCAGTCAGTCAATATAATGTCGGATTGGTTGGTGGCTCTAGGCGATGTTCCACCGGAAGATATTACACAAGTTGCCCCAGTGAAGAAGTCAAAGAGAGGTCGAAGAGGTGCGAAGCAACCAGCTAAGAAAGTGGAGGAAGGGAAAGCGAAAGAAGAGGAAAAAGTGAAGGAAAGCGAAATGACAAAGAGTCCAATGAAAAGGCATGAGACAGAGAAGAAGCTAGAGCCTTTTTATGGCAAACTGGGTAGGTGTTTTCTAAACGTATGCTTTTTCATTAACTCTATTTAAATTTGTTTAAGAGCATCAAAACATTGAAGAACATTGGATCATGAATACAAGTGCATTAATGGCTTTTCCTCTTTTCAAGTTTTGAACTAAATATACGCTGCAAAATAAACAATGTTTTGACTTATTATTTACTGCCTGAATTTTTTAACAGTAGGGTATATTACGAAACATAACTTCAGTGCTGAGATATTTGCAAAACTCTGGACGGCAGATGTTTGCGGTGGGGAATGAGCGCCCTATTGTTCTTTCAGGGGAGAAACGCGCTCACCACCACACCATGCGGGCCCTTCGTTTCGCCTGTCTCTCAGTTACGATTATAACTACTGCCTCAGTTTAACTGGGTTTGTTGCCGATTTGGGCTCCTCAGATCAATCCCGCTGTCATGTGATTGCTGATATCAGTGATAGATAGAACTAGCTGAGAGACAGGAGAAAGAAAGGACATGCATGGCGTGGTGGTGAACACGTTAACTCCCGAAAAGGGTAACAGCGCGTTCGTTTCCTACCATAGACACCTGCAATCTGGAGTCTTGCAAATATCCAAGCGCCATAATATCGCTAGCATCGAAATATTTTTGCTGAATTTTTTATTGCAGTGACAATATGGGACGCAAAACTTTTCCAGAGGCAGCAAGAACTGTGGAAAACACACTGGCGACGTTGATTGTGAAACATTTTTCACCAGACATAGCCGATACAATCTTCGAAGACGGAGGAGTGATCGAATGGCTTCCGGAGCTAATTAACCATCGGTAAATATTTCGGACAAATACTGTTTAGGCTGAAAAAATCACTTAATTGCGATCTGTGGAGTTTTATTTTGGAAAAAAAAACCCCACTGGGATTTAGTGATTTTTCCATACTGGGTCTCACCCTAGGTGTTATGTGGAATGCGAATGGTGGCAAAAGGATTATTGTGAGAAATCACTGGGTATTTTCCAGTGAGAATGGTATAATTTCAGAGTTATTTGACATCAACAAGTCCGTACAGTATTCGTAGTGCTAAAATGTGGATGTCAGTGAAGGGTTTAGGTTGGCATTCTGTTTAGATTTTGGATGTGTCAAATGGATTCCTGCTTTCGGTGCCATCTAACTTACAACATTTTAGACGATGGCGAACACTTCTATACGAACTTATGGATCAATATCCAAACTGCCTGATGCTTAACTTTGCAGTGAAGCTGATCTCAGATGCTGGATTCCAAACTGAAATAAGCACAGTGAGCTCAGCAGCGCAGCAGGTGAGTTACATTAAACAGTTTCTGAAATTTTTAATGAGAAGATGGAGACCATGGTGCATCGAAGTTCTTCACTTTTAATGAAAGCCCAGACCATCCACCAGAGCTCTGGATGGGTTTCACTGCTCTCATGATCATTTGAAAAATGAAGACGGTAAAAGTAAAAGTTTGTATGGTTTGGAGGGAATGAAGATCGAAGAAGTACTGTAGCCTAATATTTTGTCGAATGGTTTTATGGTTTCAGCTTGACATATTCTCCAGAGTGTTGTTGACTTCAGTCGACGCAGTACTTTATGAGCATCGGAAGGGATGTCTCACAGCGGCCTACGAGAAAGCTTTTGGAGAATTGGTGTGCTCCCTTATCAATTTTCCTTGATTGTTTTTGTTTTTCTGGAGTGTGCATTATTATGGTGGTGGCGTGTGTGAAAGTTGCTTAAACCTTCTACAGTAGCAATTTCTAATCGGCCATCTATTTTTAAGTTGATTTTTCACCCAACTAGAAAACTGTACACAACCTATACTGCGTTTGAACCACGTCTTAATGTTTCGCCATCATATATAACGTGTACCCCGATTGTACAGCTCAGATGTTCGAAATGTATCCCATATTCGAAATCTAGGAGCATGTAGACATAGCGAACACACAGATGCACGGGTCATATAAGAGGAATCACAGATGATAGGTTGACAAAAAGAATTATGGAGTAAACTCCACATAGATGCCAGGTGTCCTCTTGGATGACCATCTACACCATGAGCGACATGTTTGTGGTTAACGTAAACCACCTTCCTGTAGCTCTGAAGAACGCTGATTCATGATAAAAAATAAGTAAGAAAATAAAAGATAAAATAAAAAGGATAAAGCTCTCGGCGCTGATTAATCGCTGGGGGATGCGCAATGCATTTGACTTCATTAAGCATTGCTGGAGGTAATTGAATGCATATCTGGCGTTTACAATGACTCGTGGTGGCCTACCGATGTATGGAGCCATTGGTGCTATCCTCCCAGATAGATCTATTACCAATTTGCCAATTCAGAGGGATGGAAGACGGTGAGCATGGGGCGCCGGTATCGATCCAATGTGTATCGCAAGGCGCCTCCGATCGCTGCACAGTACGTGCCTCTAGTAACTCATAAGAATGGGAACAATTATCGGCATTCTATATATAGACAGCTGGGACCAGGAGCATATTTTTTAACGCTACTGAATTACAAACTCTTTCGGAGTAAGATGAATGAGATATTTCATTTTTTAAAATTATTCTTTCGCCATTAGTGCGTTCGGGAAGCTGGTCGACCTCATACGTGATTGCTATCTTGTATATGCCAGAGTGAACAGGACACCTCCAAATCATTTACTCGAAACCCAGTAACCAAATCC